AGTGGGCAGGTTTTGGAAGATCTTTGTGCAGTGGCATGGCCCAGCCTGGCTCAGCCTCCTCCAGGCAGTGTGGTTAAGGGAAGGGCATGGCCTAGAAGTCAGAAGCCTGGAGTCGCACCCAGCCTCCGTCCTAGACCGCCTGTGTGGTTCTGAGGAGTCACATCACCACTTTGCGCCTCCATTTTCCTCTCTGTAAAATGGGACTAGCAGCCCCTTCCTTGGAGCTGCTGTCTTGGGCTTCTGCAAGGATCCCACCGGAGAACAGATTGAAATTCTGTCGAGGACTCTGTTGACATGAGGCTGGGATGATCTTTCCCTGGATGAGGGATCCTAATCTTGTTTTTCTTTCTTTTTTTATTTTCTCCATCTCCAAACCAGCGTCATGATGTTTGAAGGAAAAGCCAATGAGAGCAGCCCCAAGCCAGCTGGCCCCCCTCCAGAGAGAGACATCGCTAGCCTGCCCTGAGGACCCCGCCTGGACTCCCCAGCCTTCCCGCCCCACTCCTCCCTCCCCATCTTGCTGCCCTTCTTGACACACTGTGATCTCTCTCTCTCTCTCATTTGTTTGCTCATTGACGGTTTGTTTGTGTTGTCCTCGATGTCTTTGTAAAGCACAAATTATCTGCCTTAAAGGGGCTCTGGGTCAGGAAATCCTGAGCCTTGGGTCCCCTCCCTCTCTTCTTCCCTCCTTCCCCGCTCCCTGTGCAGAAGGGCCAACATCAAACCAAAAACTAGAGGGGGCAGGGAGGCTTCTAGCCTGTGTTCCCCACTCTTGGAACCGGCACTCTCCATCCTTCCAGAAAGTCTCCAAGCCAAGTTCAGGCTCACTGACCTGGATCTGATGAGGACCCCAGGCCACTCTGAGAAGATCTTGGAGTAGGGACAAGGCTGCAGGGCCTCTTTCGGGTTTCCTTGGACAGTGCCTTGGTTCCAGGGCTCTGGGGTCACCCAGGACACAGCCACTCATGGCCCAGCTGCCCCAGCTGATCCCCACTCATTCCATACCTCTTCTCATCCTTAGTGATGTGACAGAAGGTGGGAAGGAAAGGAGCTTGGCAATGTGAGCCCTTCAAGAAGGTACCAGAAGGAACCCTCTGGTCTTGCTCTCTGGCCACACTTTTGCAGGCGGCTGAGAGGCAGCGTGCAGCCCTACTGTCCCTTACTGGGGCAGCAAAGGGCTTCGGAGGTAGAAGTGAGGCCAGGGGTTTTGGGGGGAAAGGTCAGCTCAGTGCCGTTCCACCTTTTAGGGAGGATACTGAGGGGACCAGGATGGGAGAATGAGGAGTAAAATGCTCACGGCAAAGTCAGTAGCACTGGTAAGCCAAGACTGAGCAATACAAGGTTGCTTTTCTGACCCCAATCTGCTTGAAACCTGACTCTACTTCCCTCATTTGTCTTCCTACCCTACTCCCATCATTCATTCATTTACTCACTCATTCACCAGATATTTATTGACCTCCTATTGTAAGCTTTACGTCCTCCCATGTTGTCCTGACATGTGCAGTATCCACCGTCTAATTCACCTCTCCCCAGACCTCTCAGAACCTTGAGCTTGGGAACTGGACTGGGGTCATTGGTGTCTTTTCTTATGGACTCACAGGATTTTAGAGACCTAATGCACCCTGGAGGGTAGCTGGGCCAGTCTTCTCACTTCACAGGTGAGGAGACTGGTGCCCCACAGGGTTAAGTGCCTTGCCCAAGGTCAAGCTTATCTCCAGAGGGAGGTGCCCTGGACTGGGGCCCAGATGTTCAGGGACCCTGCCTACACCTCGTCTCCAGTGTGGGCTGCCTAGTTAGTTATGAGAACAGGGAAGGGCTGGGAAGGGGCAACCTCCTAGGTCAGCACTTGGAGAGGGTTTCACTTGCTCTGAAGACCCTGGTCCAGGATTCGCCCTCCCCCGTGCCTCCAAGTCAGCATCAGGCTTTAGGCAAAGACCAGGCCTCTGAATCTGCCTCTTGTAATTCATGCAGGAAGGTGTCAAAGTCAGCCCCATCTTGGCTGATCAGGGAGTTCAGCCTTAACCCCACCTGTGTTCTGAAGTCTCTTACCCTACCTGCTCAGGACTTAGACACAGTTATTCACTGAACATATTGATTAAGCACTTGCTGTAGGCCAACAGTTAAGAATCCAATAATGAAATGGACAGATTCATGGAACTTAGAGTCCAATAGGAAAGTGAGACCCAGACAATGACAATGAGATAAATGTTAGGGAGGGGGAGGTATGGGGTGACTTCCCTGCAGTCTCGGGGGGCCTAGCTGGGCCCAGGACTGGGTGAGAGTCTTGGCAGAGCCTTTGCAACACCTTAAGTGGACAGGACTGGGAGCTCTTGGTGGTTGGAACCAACGTGGGTTCCCTGCGGCTCCTTAGTCACCTCTGACAGCAGATTGAGGGAGGAAAGCAGGTAAGGCATGAGGAAATGGCCAGGTTGGGTTAACCCACTGGTTTCAACCAGTTCAGGAATGAGGTTATTTGGCCACGACTGGCTGATCTTGAGCTCAAGGATCTGCTTCAAATGCACACAGGCCTAGTTGAAGTTTAAACCCCAGCAAAACATTCCTCCCTGTAAATGGAAAATCCTACTGCTACCCGCTCCCCTCCCCTGTTTTTTTTTCCCCTCCCAAGATCATTAGTTTAGCAACTGCCTGTCCTCACTGCCTCTCCTCTCCGGGACAGGCTGGGACCTTTGAGGAAGATAAAGCCTTCCTTGACTACCCATCATACTCAGTGTCCCTGTTCCTCACTCAGAGAGGAAGGCAGAACCAATCAGGCTTATTTCAGTAAGTTCCACAATTCCACAAGACTGCAGGAAGTCTCCTTAAGGGAGGAGAGCAAGCAGGTTTGGCCCCAGCTTCTGGAAATGGCGGAAGAGAGGGTTTTCTCATTGAATGGGGGTGGGGGCTCATGTGTCCTGGGAAACCCCATCAGTCCTTTCATTTCTTGGAACTCAACTCCTGGGAAGAGAGGGGTCTCAAGAGGGGTCCCTGGAAGGAGGACGGGGGCGGTCTGCACGTATTTCAGGTTGTGGCTCTTGGTTCTACGACTCTTACTTCTCTGGCTAAGGGTTCAGCTTCTTGGGACTTCAACTATCTTCCTTCTGAAAGACCAAATCTAATGTAACCAGTAACGTGAGGACTGCCAAGTATGGCTTTGTCCCTATGACTCAGAGGAGAGTTTGTCGGGCAAATTCAGGTGGATGAAGTATGTGTGTGCGTGTGCATGGGAGTGTGCGTGGGATATCATCTCTACAGATTGCAAATAAACCAGACAAACTTACCAACGTCTTGATCGGTGTATTTTGGGGATGGTTCTGGGCTCAGCAAATTGTGAACAAGCTAATACAGTAAGAGATTAAATGAGCGCATCCTGTGCATTTGGTCTGAGACAGCTGAAGTTCATTTATCCTACCTCCCTCCCTGCAAGAGACAGGTTCTATTATGTCATCCTTGTTTCCCAACCGAAAAGCAGGCTTGGATAAGCAACGTGCTGAAAGCCAAACAGTAAACGGCACGATCTGACCCCACTGGAGCCAACCCATGAGGTCCAAGTTAAGAACCTCTGTCCTAGAGCATTTATAATTCACTACAGAAATTTATTGTACGAAAGACTGTAATATCATCAGTCAGCCTTATCCAGACAATCTCAGTTCTCATCCTGTCACTACCACTTTCTGACTGAGGGCCACCGGAGAAATTTCTCAACTTCCCCTGTGCTTCCCTTACCTCAACAATTATTATTATGTATGTGGATGTGTATATATACATATATATATCTTTTTTTTTTTTTTTTTTTTTTCCTGAGACGGTCTCACTCTGTCACCCAGGCTGGAGTGCAGTGGCGCAATCTTAGCTCACTGCAACCTCCACCTCTTGGGTTCATGCCATTCTCCTGCCTCAGCCTCCTGTGTAGCTGGGACCACAGGCGTCCACCACCACGCCCGGCTAATTGTATTTTTAGCAGAGGTGGGGTTTCACCATGTTGGCCAGGCTGGTCTCCAGCTCCTGACAGGTGTTCCACCTACCTCAACCTCCCAAAGTGCTGCGTACAGGCGTGAGCCACCGCGCCCAGCCCATTTTTATTTTTTGAGGCAGGGTGTGGCTCTGTTACCCAGGCTGGAGTGCAGTGGTACAATCACAGCTTACTGCAGCCTCGACCTCCTGGGCTCAAGCAATTCTCCCATCTCAGCCTCCTGAGTGTGCTGAGACTACATGCGCATGCCATCACTGCTGGTTAATTTTTGTGGTTTTGTTTTGTTGTTTTTTGTAGAGACGGGGTCTCGCCATGTTGCCCAGGCTGGTCTCAAACTCCTGGGCTCAAGCAATCCTCCTGTCTCGGCCTCCCAAGTACTGGGATTATAGGCGTGAGCCACCGGCGCCTGGCCTACCTCATCAATTAAATAATAACCCCTAGGATGACTAGAAGTCTTCAAGATTACATGAGATCCCACATCTGAAGGTTTTTGCAAAGGACGTGGCACAAACTCGTGCAACTAGAGATGCATATGGCTCTTGCTCTGGAAATGATCACCTTGATAGGAGCAAACAAAGCTGGTCTTCCGTGCCCTTTAATCTCCCCTTCCAGCCTTCCACCTTCCACACTGGCGACCCCCCAACCCCGTTTTTCTGAACCTCCCTTCCTCCCCTTGCATAGCCCAAAGCCTCTCTCTAAAGTAGCCCACCGAAAACATCTGTCAAGTTCCTAACTTATCTGAATCAGAAGCTACTAATAGCCAACCTACATCTAAGAGGAACTGTAAGGTGTCAGAGGAACAAGGAGCATAGGTCGCTTAGACGTGGCCCACCCAAGAAGACAGATTGACACTAAGCGAACCCGCGCTGTCTGCGAAGGCGGGAGCGGCACCAGGACGATCCAGGGCGCAGGCGCCGGGGCCCCACGGCCACGCCCCTATCCAGCACGAGTTGGCCAATGGGGAGCGGCGGCCGGGAGAACGCGCGGCTTCTTTAGGTTCCGCTGCCTCCCCGGCCAAGCTTGACGTCACCAACGCGCGCCGGAAATGCGAGATCAACTGCGCGCCGCTGGCGCTGAGGGAAGGAAGTTTGCAGTCCAGCGGCCTAGGTTCTGTGGGCAAGGCCGTGGGAGGCAGCGTTGGCTGCTTCGACACACCGAGGGCGGCGCGATGGGAGACGAGATGGATGCCATGATTCCCGAGCGGGAGATGAAGGTCAGAGACTAACTGGGGCCTCCCTCCCTTTTTTAGTCCTGGCGTTGCCTTGGAGCCCAGCTGAAAGGCGAAGCGCGGTGCCGGCTGTCCCGTCTCCTGCTTGAACAGACTACCGCGTTCACCGCTCTCAGCTGCGCGTCTGCCGCGCCGCTGGCGTGATAGCCCCACCGAATGCAGTTTCCCAGTCCCATCCTGGTCTCGTGCACGTCTCTTGAGTTACCCTAGCTAGTTTCATGTGGCGGTCACAATAGTGGCAATAACTGCTGTGTATGGAGCGTTGACTGTGTGCCAGTCGCTGTGTAGTCATCGCAGCAGCCCTACGAAGTGGTTATTAACGTAGAGGAGTAAGTCGAGGCTCGGAAAGTGATTTCCCTAAAGTCACATTTGACAGCGGGGCTGAAAGCCAGCATCATTTAAGACCTTCGCTCTGCCGGTATTTCTGTAAGGCGGTACGGGCTTGCCTAACGTAGAGTCAGGGGAGGTCATCCATCCTGCAGAACCTTTAGTTGACTGGACTAGGAAGACTGTTTTGATATCGGTGTATCAGCCTCAAACCAGGAACCTAAAGGGAGGGCTAAGTGTTTCCAGTGATGGCAACGTGGGAGTCCCCCAGGGATAACTTCAGGATGGTGTGTTTAATAGTTCTTATATGTGTTCTGACAGAATGAGGGTGCAGCAAACGGCCTACATCTGTTTTAAATAGTGAAAGGAAGTAAGATGCAGGAAGATTTTAGTCATCTGTGTGAACAGTAAATCACTAACATGCATGTAGGGCATAGTAATACATACCCTGTTTAGAATAGTGATTTTTTTTTTTTTTTTTTTTTTTTTTTGAGACAGAGTCTCGCTCTGTCGCCCGGGCTGGAGTGCAGTGGCCGGATCTCAGCTCACTGCAAGCTCCGCCTCCCGGGTTCACGCCATTCTCCTGCCTCAGCCTCCCGAGTAGCTGGGACTACAGGCGCCCGCCACCGCGCCCGGCTAATTTTTTGTATTTTTTAGTAGAGACGGGGTTTCACCGTGTTAACCAGGATGGTCTCGATCTCCTGACCTCGTGATCCGCCCGTCTCGGCCTCCCAAAGTGCTGGGATTACAGGCTTGAGCCACCGCGCCCGGCCTTTTTTTTTTTTTTTTTTTTTTTTTAAGACATAGTCTCGCTCTGTCACCCAGGCTGGAGTGCAGTGGCATGATCTCGGCTCGCTGCAACCTCCACCTCCCCAGCTCAAGCGATTCGCCTGCCTCAGCCTCCCGAGTAACTGGGATTACAGGCACCTGCCACCATGCCTGACTAATTTTTTATATTCTTTGGTAGAGATGGGGTTTCACCATGTTGGCCAGGCTGGTCACAAACTCCTGACCTCAAGTGATCTGCCCTCCTCTGGCTCCCAAAGTGCTGGGATTACAGGTGTGAGCCACCGTGTCGGCCTAGAATAGTGATTATTTTTTGAGAATCACCACCTGTGGTGAGCCACCTAATGGGATTGTGTCATATTCCTCAGATATACTGGGGTAGAAGAAAAAAAGGGTTTATTAATAGAATCACAGACTTAGAAGATGGTAATCTCAGACTCCCTTTGGCAGCACATATAAAATTGGGATCATGCAGAGAAGACTAGCATGGCCCCTTTACATGGATGACACACAAATTCGTGAAGTGTTCCATGTCAGAAAACATTGAAGGCCGAGCGGAGTGGCTCACGCCTGTGAGCCTGCACTTTGGGAGGCTGAGGCGGATGGATGACTCGAGACCAGCCTGGCCAACATAATGAAACCCTGTCTCTACTAAAAATACAAAAATTAGCCGGGCATGGTGGTGGGCGTCTGTAGTCCCAGCTACTTGGGAGGCTGAGGCAGGAGAATTGCTTGAACCTGGAAGGCAGAGGTTACAGTGAAGCAAGATCGCCCACTGCACTCCAGCCTGGGCGACAAAGCGAGACTCCGTCTCAAAAAAGAAAAAAAGACAACTGAGACAGACCGTGTTCTCAGTAATATATATTTTTGTTGTACTGAAATTGGGTCTACTGAATATAACTTGTTTTAATTTCTTTATTTATTGAATTGATCTTGTTTTGATTCTTCACAACAGGATTTTCAGTTTAGGGCGCTAAAGAAGGTGAGAATCTTTGACTCCCCTGAGGAATTGCCCAAGGAACGCTCGAGTCTGCTTGCTGTGTCCAACAAATATGGTCTGGTCTTTGCTGGTGGGGCCAGTGGCTTGCAGATTTTTCCTACTAAAAATCTTCTTATTCAAAATAAACCCGGAGATGATCCCAATAAAATAGGTAAGTTCCGTGGTTTATGTTGCAAAGTAGAGAGAGGAGTGTGGTGGCATGCTCTTGTGTTTCCTTCCCAAGAAGTCATTCTAATACTAAAATGAACACTGCTGTCAGTTTGAAGGTTGACTCCCAAGAAGATTAATGGAAGCCTTTCTAGGTTTTCTCCTTGGTCCTTTGTACTTTTCCTTACATGAGTTGTTCTTCTCAGCTCAAGAGGGAAGAACTTAACCATTATGCCATACTTTTATTCTTGCCCAGTTGAACTTGGGCTCTGGCTCTCTGGGTGAAGGGTTTTATTGGCATGGGTTTTCAGTTGGCACAACAGTACGATCCAAACTATTGGCAATGTGTACTATTTAGAGCATTGTTGCAAAAATATTTTCAACAAGGGCAACAGCCACAGTTAGTTTCCCCAGATAGTATGAGGAAGAATTCCTGGGATACTTAATGCATGATTATATCTCTTAAGAAAGTAAAGATTTATCTGTATAACTAGGTATTGGGGTGTATGTGTGTTTATGTAGATGCAAAAATTTTTTCACATTGAACTGGATAGAGGTTGTGGCTTTATGCTTAGAACATACTGTTTTCTGCTTTATATTTTTTTGTTTTTATAGTTGATAAAGTCCAAGGCTTACTAGTTCCTATGAAATTCCCAATCCATCACCTGGCCTTGAGCTGTGATAACCTCACACTCTCTGTGTGCATGATGTCCAGTGAATATGGTTCCATTATTGCTTTTTTTGATGTTCGCACATTCTCAAATGAGGTAAGCTACTGTTACACTGTGATGTCAACATGAGAACCCTAAGCAGATTTCCTTGTGTTGAACTATAACTCGGAAGCTTCATAGGTTAACCCTTGAAGTCTCTCTCTAGATTAAAATATGGGTTAAAAAAAATCCTTCATTATAGAATCATAGATCATTGAGACAGAAGGGACTTCAAGAAATTCTTTCATAACACCATCTGCCCTAAGTTGTTATCAGGAGGCTTAGGTGACTTGCCCAAAGTCATAGATTAATAGACAATGTCAAAAGTTCCTACATTTTGGGTCTTTCGCCTCATAATGCAATGTTCTTCCATTTCAAGCAGTTTAAGAATGATAATAATAATAGCGAGTGTTTATACTGACTGTGTGTCAGACTCTGTGCTAAGTGCTTTATGTGCCTTGTCCCTCGTTCATGCCTACCACAGCCTTCTGTAGTAGGTACTGTCATTTTCATTTTATAGGTAGAGAAACAGGCTCAGAGTTTAACTGTCCAAGGTCCCAGCACTATTAAGAAGCAGAGCCAAGATTTTAATCTAGTGTCTGCTATTTATTGGTTATTTTGCAATTGTGCATTCCCCTGCTGAGAGTCCCCCTAAGCATGTTAGAATAATTGATTGCCATTTTCAAAGTTGTATTGAAATTGTCTATAGCAAATTGATGTATAAAGCTAAATCTTTTTTTATGGTTATGGAGAAAAATAAACTGATTTGAGATAACTTGTATATTCAGTAATTTCCATTGAATATTAAATGTTTGTGCATTTACTAATTTGTTAACTTATTTCACTTTTGCATATTTGTTTTAAAAGGCTAAACAGCAAAAACGTCCATTTGCCTATCATAAGCTTTTGAAAGACGCAGGAGGCATGGTGATTGATATGAAGTGGAACCCCACGGTCCCCTCCATGGTGGCAGTTTGTCTGGCTGATGGTAGTATTGCTGTCCTGCAAGTCACGGAAACAGTGAAAGTATGTGCAACTCTTCCTTCCACTGTAGCAGTAACCTCTGGTGAGTAATAAAGGCTTTCACACTGTAACATACAATCGTGGTCATCTGCTTAAGAATTGGTTTCTAGAAGTAAAAGTGGTTAGCTGGTTTTGATTTGTTTTGTTTTTTAACGTGGTGAGGGAGGTTAAGATGGAAAAGTTCTTTTTTTTTTTTTGAGACAGTCTCACTCTGTCACCCAGGCTGGAGTACAGTGGCATCATCTCAGCTCACTACAACCTCTACCTCCTGGGTTCAAGCAATTCTCGTGCCTCGGCCATCCAAATAGCTGGGATTGTAGGCATGCACACCTTGTCCAGCTAATTTTTGTATTTTTTGTAGAGACAAGGTTTCTACATGTTGACCAGGCTGGTCTTGAACTCCTGACCTCAAGTGATCTGCCCTCCTCCACCCACATATACTAGGATTACAGGTGTGGGTCACTGTGCCCGGCTGAGAGTATTCTTTATACCCATAGTTAATGTCCTTGAAGCTAAGCAGCATACATAATTTAACCTGAATGTACTTGGGTTTTCAGGAGAAATATTTTGGTACAGCTGATTTAGAAGTGTTTTTTGAGAATAATTGTTTCTGGATCTGTAATGGTGGTACTCTGAAAGTCACTTGTTCCTTCATGGGGAAAAGCATTTGAAATATTAAATGGGAGCAGGAGAATGATTTGTTTTTTTTTTTTTTTTTTGAGACGGAGTCGTGCTCTGTCACTCAGGCTGGAGTGCAGTGGCACGATCTCAGCTCACTGCAACCTCCACCTGCTGGGTTCAAGCAATTCTCTTGCCTCAGACTCCAGAGTAGCTAGGACTACAGGCGCGTGCCACCGTGCCCAGCTACTTTTTGTATGTTTTAGTAGAGACGGGGTTTCACCGTGTTGGCCAGGCTGGTCTCAAACTTCTGACCTCAAGTGATCTGTCTACCTTAAGCTCCCAAAGTGTTGGGATTACAGGCGTGAGCCACCCCGGCCAGTGATTTCCTGGTATTTGGAAACCTTCTCTATTCTGCTTGTCTTATCTAAAGACTACAGAGTTTTCTGTATTTTGCAGCTTTTTTAGCTTTCAATTCAGTAAGCCCAGTGATAAATCAATTGGCTTATGTCGTTAAAATGATTTTACTTTTTTCCACTTTGCTGGAAAGGGATGATCCTACAATCTTCCATGGACTGACAGAGGAATGAGAATTGATAATTAGCTGTGTGTGATAGATCTCATTGGTTTGCTCCATTTTCTTGTTTTTATTTGGTAATATTGTCTTTGCTCAGTGTGCTGGAGCCCCAAAGGAAAGCAGCTGGCAGTGGGAAAACAGAATGGAACTGTGGTCCAGTATCTTCCTGTAAGTTCTTATCTTGAACTTCAGAATTTTTCTTAAGTTGCTCGCTTTTTTGGGGAGTGGTTTGGGAGTATCTTTCTTGTTTTTCCTATTAAAAAGTAATTTATACTCATTGTAACAAATCCATCAGTGAGTGAAGAGTGGAGCTCTTCCCTTCCTTCCCATAGTCCTCCTTCCAGAGGCACCCACTGTGTTGTGTTGAGTAGGTAGCCTTCCAGACTTTTCTGGATGTTATACAAACAGTCTATGTGTAGCTGCGTTTTTGTTTTGTTTTGTTTTTTATGTAAAATGCGATAATACACTATGCACTGTTCCCCAACTCTTTCAGTCCATTCCATAAAAACAGAGCTGAAGGGAAAAGCGTGAAAAAGCTATGTTGATAATGCAGAATCACTCTGGGTTAAAGCACAGTATTTGTCTTTTCACTGAGTCCGTCTTTAAGGGTCTGTTTCTCTAACTATGGGCACTAAAGAAAATGGGTACTCTTGTTGTTGCATGTGCACTCTGTCATCCTCCCTGTGAATTTCTTGAGATAATGTTCACAAATATCCTTCAATATCAATTGAGTTGCAAGGAACCCACATGTATCTATTGAGCCTGGGTACGAAGGAGGGATTCACAGGTGGTGCTAAGGCCTTTGTTGTGCCTTCTTCCTCGAGACTGTTCTCTGGCGAGGAGGGGAGCAGAGTGCTGAATGTAGGTGGTGTGGGTTTAAGGTTATGTTTCTTATTTGTTATTACCGAAAGTTACATGAAATTTGGTACATAATCTTTTAGGGCACTAACCTGTAAAAAGATAATGCAATTTATTTAATTTTCTTGCTTTGCTGTTTGCCTTTTTTTTTTTTTTTTTTTTTTTTGGAGAGATGGTCTTGCTCTGTTGCCCAGGCTGGGGTGCAATGCTGTGATAACGTAATGGCTCACTGCAGCCTCAGCCTCGTGGACTCAGGTGATCCGTCCGCCTCAGCCTCCTAGGTAGCTGGGACTACAGGCGCTTGCCACCATGCACAGCTAATTTTTGTATTTTTTGTAGAGACAGGGTTTTGCCATGTTGCCCAGGTTAGTCTCAAACTCCTGGGCTCAAGCAGTGTGCCCACCTTGGCCTTCCAAAGTGCCGAGATTACAGACATGAACCACCTCGCCCAGCCTTATTCCACTATTGATGATTATCTGCATCAGTGCTAGTGGTGTTGCTGCTGTGAATGGTGTTGCATTGACTACTCTCATTACCTATAGCTGAACATGTTCATGCGTTTTTTTTTTTTTTTTTTGACACTGAGTTTTGCTCTTGTCGCCCAGGCTGGAGTGCAGTGGCGTGATCTCAGCTCACTGCAACCTACGCCTCCTGGGTTCAAGCAGTTCTCCTGCCTCAGCCTCCCAAGTAGCTGGGATTGCAGGTGCCCGCCACAATGCCTGGCTATGTATTTTTAGTAGAGACAAGGTTTCGCCATGTTGGCCAGGCTATTCTCGAACTTCTGACCTCAGGTGATCCACCTGCCTCAGCCTCCCAAAGTGTTGGGATTACAGGCGTGAGTCACCACACCCGGCCACGTTCATACATTTCTGTAGGACAAAGTCCTGGAAGTAGATAGCACTGTTCTGTGTCTTCAGTCTCGCCTGGCCAAGGAGATGGAATAGGTGGCATCTAAGGAATAGATTAGATTTGATAGTTTGATTGGTTTAGGGATTGTTTCATTTGATACTTTATTTTGCCCTCCAAATCTCTTTCAGACTTTGCAGGAAAAAAAAGTCATTCCTTGTCCTCCGTTTTATGAGTCAGATCATCCTGTCAGAGGTAATAACTGCTTTTCTTATTGGGCTGACCTCTAATGACATGTTATGTATATTACGGAAATTCAAAATCATGTAATGTACCTGCTCAGTGAGGTGTTGGTGTTTGCTTTATGAATAATGTCACTATTTCAAAGAGCTAGTTAAGTCAGTGTAAATTATGGCCCTCTGGGTGACATCTGTGTTTCATGGTAAATGACATGAAATGGATCCCAACTTTTTATTACAATTCTTCATAATTTGCCCTGATTATAATCCAGCAGAAAAATTACCATTTGGGGATGAGTTTGGGCTTCTTGGATCTTTGTACCTGTGAGTTATTTTTAGTCAATGAAATTTGGGCCTTTGATTTTTTTTTTATCCATGGTGTGTATTATAGCATGCAGTGGCTATTCCAAACATAAGTTGCTTTTGGTTGCATCTGGTTGCTGTCATTTTTATGACCTACTGATTAAGATGTGTCTTTCAGTTCTGGATGTGCTGTGGATCGGTACATACGTCTTCACAATAGTGTATGCTGCTGCAGATGGGACCCTGGAAACGTCTCCGGATGTGGTGATGGCTCTCCTGCCGGTATGCATGTGAAAGAAATTTCATTGTTTGAGAATTAGAGAAGTCTTTTTTTTTTTTTTTTTGAGACAGAGTCTCGCTTAGTCGCCCAGGCTGGAGTGCAATGGCGCAATCTCGGCTCACTGCAAGCTCCGCCTCCCGGGTTCACGCCATTCTCCTGCCTCAGCCTCCCGAGTAGCTGGGACTACAGGCGCCCGCCGCCTCGCCCGGCTAATTTTTTGCATTTTTAGTAGAGACGGGGTTTCACCGTGTTAGCCAGGATGGTCTCGATCTCCTGACCTCGTGATCCGCCCGCCTCGGCCTCCCAAAGTGCTGGGATTACAGGCGTGAGCCACCGCGCCCGGCAGAGAATTAGAGAAGTCTTCTAATAAAGCTGGAGGCTTTGATTTCAAGGTTTTTTTTGTGTTTGTGGGGTGTTTTTTTTTTTTTTTTGTAAGTTGAAAATGTAATTTTAATAGTTAATTCTTCATCTTACATAGGAGCACAATAAAATACACCACAATCTGAAGAAACTCTTTTTTTTTTTTTTTTTTTTTTTGAGATGAGATCTCACTCTGTCACCCAGACTGGAGTGCAGTGATGCGATCTCACCGCACTGAAGCCTGGACCTCCTGGACTCAAGTGATCCTCCCACCTTAGCCTTCTGAGTAGCTGGTACTACAGGTGCACACCACTATGCCTGGCTAATTTTTGTTTTTTTTGTTTTTTTTTTTTTTTTTGGTGGAGATGGGGTTTCGCCATGTTGCCCAGACTGGTCTTGAACTCCTGAGCTCAAGTGATCTGCCCACCTAGGCCTCCCAAAGTGCTGGGATTACAGGTGTGCATCACCGCACCTGGCCTGATTTCAGGTTCTTTTACTTACTGGCAGTGATTATGCAACTTCAGGTATAAGGTTTCCATGCTGTACCATGGGCCTGGGGTCCAAAGTTAGAGTGTCCACAGCCGTGTTCTATTGTTTTGGTATGAAGTTAAAAAAAAAATGATTTTGCTTAAGTTATAAACTATGGGTCTTGGTTAACTCGATAAATTTTAGAAGAGCAAGACAGTATCTTGATTTTTAAAATTACTTTGTTTGCTCTCAAATTTTTAATGCCAACAATGTGCTAGGCACTGCTTTAAAGCTGAGTATATGGCAGTGATCAAGGTGATGGCCTTGCTTTTATGGTTTTAAATTTGTTGTTGTTGATAATTTTTACTTATTTTTTAGAGACAGAGTCTCAGTCTCTTGCCCAGGCTGGAGTGTAGTGGTGTGATCACAGCTCACTACAGCCTCAAATTCTTGGGCTTAAGCCATCCTCCTGCCTCAGCCTCCCAAGTAGCTGGGACCACAGGCATGCACCAACACACCCAGCTGTTTTTAAATTTTTCGTAGAGGTGGGGTCTTGCTTTGTTGCCCACACTGGTCTCAAACTCCTGGCTTTAAGCAGTTCTCCCACCTCGATCTCTCAAAGCACTAGGATTATAGGTCTGAGCCACTACACCTGGCTGGGCTTACATTCTAATGGGATAGTCAATACTAAGTATGAGATCAAGGACTGGTAAGAGTGATGGAGAAAATAAAGCTGTGTTAGGGATAGATGATGACTGGTACGTATTTGAGATTGGGTGTCAAGGGAGGCCAATTTGATATTTGAAAAAGATGCCTTGTTTTTAACTCTTGGGTTTCTAATAAGGTTGAATTTTTAAAATGTTTATCTAGATGCCTTCTTTTAAGATTAGTTAGAGGTTTTTTCTATTCTAGGGGATAATATTAACACTAGTATTTATTAACTGCTAGTTATGTTTCACGTACTGGGCTGGAAGTTTTATATGTATCATTTCATTTTACACTTACAGTAGCCTCTGAAGTAGGCTTAGGAGATCTAGCATACACATGAAAACACTAAGTATCAGGAAGGTTGAAAAATCTGCCTCTCTCATGGACAGAAAGTGGCAGAACAGAGTTTAAATGCGGTTCGCTTGATGGCCAATGTTTGTACTCCTTGTACTAAGTGCTGCCTTTATACCATGTCCCTATATCTGGACTTAGACTTTGAGTGAATATTCTCATACAACTTTAAATGATTTATCATTTGAGATTCTTTTACTGTAGGATCCGAGAAAAACCTAATTTTTTTCTTGCTTTGTTCATTGTAGAAAAAAGAAGAAAAGCACCCAGAGATATTTGTGAACTTTATGGAGCCCTGTTACGGCAGCTGCGCGGAGAGGCAGCACCATTACTACCTCAGTTACATTGAGGAGTGGTGAGCAGAGAGTCTGGACAGGGCATTCCTGCTCTCACTGGAAGATCACGCCTGAGTCATCTTGTCCCATGTTGAAATCTTTTCTGATTGATTGATTGATGGATGGATTGGCAGGGTCTCACTCCATTACCCAGGCTGGAGTACAGTGGCACGATTGTAGCTCACAGAAGCCTGGAACTCCCAGGCTCAAGTGATCCTTCCACCTCAGCCTCCTAGATGGGACTACAGGCACATGCCACCACACCTGGCTTAGTTTTAAAGTTTTTGTTTGTTTGTTTGTGTTTTGGTAGAGATGGGATCTTGTTACGTTGCTCAGGCTGGCTTCCTAAAGTACTGAGATTATAGGTGTGAACTGTAGCACCCAGCCTGAAATCTTTTCTATTATAGAGGAAAATGGAGGCTGAGATACCTTGAACGTATTTTCAGCTTATTCTTGATAATGTCTATTATTTCTTTTTCCCCAATCTTGAGTTATTTATATTAAATACGTACTAATTTCGAAAATCTAATTTTCTCAATAACACCTAGTGATGACTTATGAAAATACTGATACTCAAGGAATATATTAAAAGTTTCCTTCTGAGAGCAGAGTTGCCCACCGGAATGGAGATTACTCAAAGCAAAGCTTCCATCCCTCTAGCTACATTATTCTGCCTTTGGGTGGCATATTGATTGTGAACTCTGACTTGATTCTGTTGTGTCTTTCCTTTGTCTTCGTGTAGGTAGGCAGTGAGCTGATTCTACAGGGCTTTCTCACAGAAACTAAAAAGTTCAGCTTTATATCTAGAATCTTCCCACCTTTGTTAAACCAGATAGAAAACCTTACTCTCTCCTCGATATGTGGAGGCAGCCCTCGCAGATGTTACCTGCAGACCCAAGTTAGAGAACTATTGCTGTATTTGAATGTAATGGTCTCTGGTTTTGTTCTTTAAGGGATTTAGTGCTGGCAGCATCTGCGGCTTCAACAGAAGTTAGTATCCTTGCTCGACAAAGTGATCAGGTAAATCTTTTTTGTCACTTTTGTGGTACTTTCTTTTTTGCGTGTGGTTAGGATGTACATTGTCTCACATCTGTTTTATCAAGTTTCTGTATGACAGCAAAGCTTCAGTGACAGAGTGCCTTGGCCAAATGGCTTGGCTATTGCATGGAGAAACACGGGTGTCAGACTTAGTACTTCCTTCACTTCTGTTCTTTTAGGATCCATCCCTGGTCTGTGGAAACATGCTATGCAGTTAACCTCCAACTGGAGTATGCCCGATGCATAGGAGGCTTTTTCTGCCTTGTCCTGTTTTGTCATCTTTGTTTTCTTCCTGTTACTTGAACCTACTCCTTCTATACAATTTAACAATAATCCATCCTCAATTACGAAAGAAAAACATGCAGATGACACTAAATTGTGATTCACCAGAAATACTTTCTGTTTGACTTTGAAAAACTGTCAGAAAGAGCAAAGCACCTTTGCATATAAGAACCTTCTTTCACGTTGTCTTTCTTGCAGGGACACGGTGGGCCCAGGTAGTGGTGGTGCGCTATCCACTTGTAGATTATGCAGAATGACTGACTACAGAGAGGGCACAACAAAAGAAGGGGAATCTTCTTTTTAAAACTGCCTTGAGCTTAAAAATCTTTAGTGCACCCTTGTAAATAAGAAACAAGTGCTTCTCCTCCCCATATGACTTTGTGTTCCACCCATGCATAGGTACTTTGTGCCTCTTCAACCATTGGCATTTATCTGTCACTTTCTGGGTGGCTGGGTGGCCCATTAGGAGGGGCATGGTTCTCATTGTCTAGGGGTGGCTGCCTTTGGATGAGGCCAGAGTTCAGCCATCTGATTTGCTGCTCTAGAACTATCTTAGATTGACTTCAGTAATAATTTCCTGTTAGCAGAAGTATTTCATGTGTTCACACATTAAAAATACAGTTTTATTTTTACTTTCTATCAAAATAATTTATGTTCATGTTTTTTAAAAGTAAATAGTAGAGAAGGGCTTGTAAAAAAAGAATCACCCCTGCCCTACCTGTTTGCTTTCTAGAGGGGACCGTTTTTAATTTGTAAACATTTTCTTATAATGCTGCCACCTTATCCCTAAAGAAAAATCTGCTTTATGACTAGTAATTGGTTATTAGTTTTAGACCTTGCTGACTGTATGGCAAATGATGATCTAGCTCACATATGGCCCCCAGTCCCCTCCTTCCTCTCAAGAGTTACAGCATTGTTTTAATTTCTTATCTTGGTGAACCTTTGTAACTTTAATTGGTGTTTTTTACCTTCCTTTCTGGTGGTATCTTTATTTATTTATTTATTTATTTATTTATTTATTTTTATTTTTTGAGGCCAAGTCTCACTTTGTCACCCAGTGCAGTGGTGCCACTGCAACCTCCGCCTCCCTGGTTCAAGTGATTCTCATGCCTCAGCCTCCTAAGTTGCTGGGACTGCAGGCCTGCGTCAACATGCCTGGCTAATTTTTGTATTTTTTAGTAGAGATGGAGTTTTGCTTTTTTGGCCAGGCTGGTCTCAAGCTCCTGACCTCAAGCGATCCGCCCGTCTTGGCCTCCCAAAGTGCTGGGATTACAGGCGTGAGCCACGGCACCTGGCCTGGTGGTAACTCTTGATCTTCCACTTCGTGAGAGGAATGTCTTAGCACTCCCACCCTTTCCCTTAGTATCCTTCCAGTTGTTACCTGTGTCTTCTCTTTTGTAAAACTGCATTCTGCCCTACAATGATTAAGTCGTCTTTATCTTAACTGTAGATTGTTTTTAAAAGTTGAGATTGTTTTGTTTAATATGAATGTGTCTGTTACCTGTTCCATAGCTAAGTCACATAGTGTGATTTCATTCTCTTTCCTGAACTGCTTGCTTGCTTTCCCTTTCTTTCTTTCTTGCTTTCACTCTCTCTCTCTCTTCTTTCTCCTTCCTTCCTTCCTTTTCCTTTCTCTCTTTCTCTCCTCCCCTCTCCTCTCCTCTCTTTTCCTTTTTTTTGCTTCTCTTCTCTTCTCTTCCCTTCTCTTCTCTTCTCTTCTCTCTCCTCTCTCCTCTCCTCTCTTCTCTTCTCTTCTCTTCTCTTTTCTTCTCTTTTCTCACTCTGTAACCCAGGCTGGAGTGCAGTGGTGTGATCTCGGCCCACTGCAACCTCTGCTTCCCGGGTTCAAGTGATTCTGCTGCCTCAGCCTCCCAAGTAGCTAGGACCACAGTTGCACACCACCACGCCCAGCTAATTTTGTATTTTTACTAGGGACGGGGTTTCACCATGTTGGCCAGGCTGGTTTCAAACTCCTGACCCCAGATGATCCACCTGCCTCAGCCTCCCAAAGTGCTGGGATTACAGGCGTGAGCCACTGCATCCAGCCTGTTTTTCTTTGTTAGTCATTAAGCACTCTTCCCCTGTGATTCATGCTTCCCAGTCTGGTCAACACTGAAAGTTAGGCAAACTGTTAGTGATTTTAAAAACCAAGAGTCATTTGTTGGAAGGGACAGAGCCTATCCAAGCAAACTTAAGCAAAAAGGAAGTTTACTAGAAAGTCTTTTCTCAAGGACTGTAGGGACAGGAAAGCTGACCATTCTGAGGAGCTGGTACCAAGAACTGGGAAGAGAAGAACTTATGGTTATCTCTGTCTCTATAGACGATTGGGCACAGGGCATCTGAGCACAGGCCAGCCTTACATGCGTCTCTGTGAAGGACTCCAGTAGAGATGAGCTGGAGTTCCTGGTCCCAGTCCAAAATGTCTAGGAGCAGGTATTGACTGGCTGACTGCAGCTGTTGGATTTGTCCCTCATGGTCAGCAGTCTACCTAGTTGTCATGGAACGCACCTCAGAAAGTGTTCATGATAGTGGTTATTCACAAGGCAGGGGCTTGGTACACCAGGAACAGATAGAGAGGGGGTCGATTTGGAAAATTAACTTCCCGTTTGCTGGGGGTACTTCTGGCTTTTAGACCATCTTCCCAGATTTCAGAGCCTCCTAGTCAACACATACATCTAAACCAAGTGAGGCATCTCTGTTCTCTCCTATTTGAACAGTGCTAGAAGGACCCAATGCAAAGCTCTAACCACCGTGGCATTTTCTTCTTTTTTTTTTTTTAGATTAATTGGGAATCTTGGCTACTGGAGGATTCTAGTCGAGCCGAGTTGCCCGTGACAGACAAGAGTGATGACTCCTTGCCCATGGGAGTTGCTGTAGACTATACGAACCAAGTGGAAATCACCATCAGTAAGTGTAGCCTGGTAATTAGTGCAGAAATAGTCTTCTTTCTAGTTAGGGTTAATATTGAAACACCAGTTACATGTTACTGACAGTCTGCTCTGCTGGGTACTTGTAGCTTCTGGCAGCACATTTCTACCTGAAGAGTGATATAGGCTGTATTGTGACAACATTGAACTGATTTGAATGGATATTCATTGATGAGACCAAGGCCAGACACTGTGTATATGTGTGGGTATATGTTTGCACACTTGCACATGTCTGGGTGTACTTAGAATCTGGTTGAAATATAGAACAAGCCAGGATTTTATGGCTTGGTTTCTTTGTCCAGTCCAACTCCGTGGTGACCTCCCACAGAAGCAATACCCGAATCTGGTACTGCACACCAGTACTTGGTTTGAAGGCAAGGATTAGAAAATAGAGATCTCAGGCCCATTATTTCCAAATAGGGCCTGGATATGTGTTTTGAATAGATCTTCCCTGCAGTAGCTTGGCTATGCTGTAGTCATTGAAATGTAAAAGTGCCACAAAAGAAGCAGTCTTTGCCATCTGGTACTTAAGTTTAGAGAGATGTCCCCATCAGGCACCATTAAGTTGCTTGTTCTTTCCCTGATTAGGCAGGAGTATTTGTTCTGATTAGCTCATTTGCTCTGATTCTCTTGAAACCTTAATTGATAAAATACATACTTGTCATTCAACTGTGAATGAGGAATAAGTAGTTTGACTCATCTTTCTGTGTCCTGTCCATTCCAAAGAGTCTAGTCTCATTTTCCTAATGACCCAAGTACTTCCTAGATACTCTTGTCTTGGTCAGGGGAATGCCAAGCCTACCTCCTGAACACTGAGACACTCGTAAAAACTGAGGGACCTTTGGGAGAGTCAGAGCTACTGGGGGACTGATGGAGCTTCTAGGCAGGGCCCAGCAGGATGGTGGCGATCTGATAGCGGCAGGAGCTCTCTTTAGCTGGTGCATGGAAGGCTGTTCAGGTCTAAAATCAGAACAAACTAACTTGAGCTGCTATTCAGATGAGTCCCTTAAACCCTCTTCATGTTGAGGGCAGTCTTTGCCTTCCAGCCTCAGGCCCTTAAATTGACTTGGTTCTTTTATTGCTTTTGTTTTCTTTTTTAACAGATGATGAAAAGACTCTTCCTCCTACTCCAGTTCTCATGTTACTTTCAACAGATGGTGTGCTTTGTCCATTTTATATGATTAATCAAAATCCTGGGGTTAAGTCTCTCATCAAAACACCGGAGCGACTTTCATTAGAAGGAGAGCGACAGCCCAAGTCACCAGGTATGTGGCTCTGCCTGCTTTATCAGTAAGGGAATACCATGAGACTTGCACAAGAGTATTTCCAAGAACCAACATGGTGTGAAGACACATAGTGATTTTCTTTACCAGGCTCATCTGTCTTAGGAAGGCACACGCTAATCTTTTTTTTGAACATGCATGCACATATTTGCCTTTCCCTACCCTCAAGCTTTATTCTGCAGCCATTACTTTACTTCGGAGATGAAGGAAGGTCAACCAGATGGTTTGCATCCGGTCGTTTACCAACAGTATTCTAAGACTCTATGTTATGTGATGTGCATCCAGAAGACATTGTGCTTAATCATGGGGGTTGGTTAAAGAAATGATTGTGGCTGGGCACGGTGGCTCAAGCCTGTAATCCCAGCACTTTGGGAGGCCGAGGCGGGCGGATCACGAGGTCAGGAGATCGAGACCATCCTGGCTAACACGGTGAAACCCCGTCTCTACTAAAAAATAGAAAAAAACTAGCTGGGCGAGGTGGCGGGCACCTGTAGTCCCAGCTACTCGGGAGGCTGAGGCAGGAGAATGACGTGAACCCGGGAGGCGGAGCTTGCAGTGAGCCGAGATCCGGCCACCGCACTCCAGCCTGGGCGACAGAGCGAGACTCCGTCTCAAAAAAAAAAAAAAAAGAAATGATTGCATAGTCTTACAGTGAAATGCCATGTAACAATTATAAATGTTACATTTATTGACTGGGAAGGAGTGAGTGGAATACATCACAAAAAAAAAAACAAACAAAACCCTATATTCTGTGTTCCTTTTTGTATGAGAAAAAAACATACATAGAAAAAAAAACTTGGAGATGAATTTAAAATCTAAATGGTGGTTATTTCTGGGTGAAGGGAACATGGATATTTTTGTTGTTTATATTTTCTTGAGGTTTTTTCTCCTTTTGGAAACATTACTTAAATAATAGATGTTTATTGGAGGAAAATGAGAGCATACAAAACCATAATCACTTAAAGCCCATCAAAAAAAAAAAAAAAAAAAAAAAAAAAAGCCCATCAGTCATCAAGCAATGGCCACAGTCAACACTTTGGTACCTATCCTCCATGAAAATGAGTGCACACATATAAATACTAGTCTGTATTTTAAAAATGTTTACAGTGACATTTGTATCACTTGTGAAAAGAAACTTTTTTTTTTTTTTTGTGGAGACAGGGTCTTACTCTGTTGCCTAGGTTGCAGTGCAGTGGCATGATGACAGCTCACTGTAGCCTTACTCTCCCAGGCTCAGGCAGTCCCACCTAAGCCTCCCAAGCAGCTGGAACTACAAGCATACGCCACCATATGCAGCTGTTTTTTAAATGGTTTATAGAGATAGGATCTTACTATGTTGCCCAGGCTAGTCTCAAACACCTGGACTCAAGTGTTCCTCCTGCCTCAGCCTCCCAAAGTACTGGGATTATAGACATGATACACTGTGCCTGACCAGAAAATATAAAACTTTTAAAAAGATCATTGTTTCATATATTCAAATTTGACTAATATTTCTCTCTTTGAATTCTGTGAGTATATAACTAATACATTTTTTTCTTCTATTATGACCAGTTTCCTATCTAAGCAAAAATGTATGACCAGTTGGTTTGGATAAGGTTAACAATACTTAGGGGTATATTCTCTCACTGCATCCCAGTCCACAGTGAGTTGTATATCCCAAATAGAGCCACTCAGATACTTGGGCCCTAACAACTGGCAGCACTACCCCAAGTGATACACCAGATGGCTTGCAGAGTGTTGTATCAGGATAGTCCGTTATTCATAGTGTGTACTCTTTGTGTTGGGTTTTTTTTTCCTCTTTATTCAGCCATGAATAAGGGTACCATGAACTACCTATACCCAGCTGCCTGGTGTGTCTGTAATAAGCAGAGCAGACTGTGAGATTAGGAGCCTGTGGGACGAGGTTTGTTTCTGAGTGTTTGCTACTAGCGCATTCAACACTGGAGCACAATCAGAGGCCAGTTTTACTGTTAGCTTTTCCTAGGGAAACTCCCCTCTTCCTTCACCGTTTGTCCAGAGGTAGTAGTTGTGTTCAGATGAGTGTAATAGAGCCCCTGCAGGGAGAGTGTCTGTCCTGTCAGCTAAGTGTAGCTAACACCTACTTCATGGGTTCAGAAGACATTAATGATTCCACCTGTTTCTACACTGCAGTTCCAAGAATGCGGTATTGATCAGAAGTAGTAGTAGCATGATGGTTTTCCAATAATCAGTTCATTTTCAGTGGAAAAAATGCTAATGATTTCTTTAGGGTCTGGTATATATTTTTCATGTCAGTTTGCCTAATATGCATGGAAGTGTTTAACATCTATGTGTGTCTTTACAGAAGTTAGTTGTTGCTGGTTCCAATATCTGTTGTATAAAGAAGTATTAACAGAATAGATTTGCTTGCATTATTATACTTTCATCAAAGTGACAGTTTACTTGGATTTTTGTTTTCAGAAAGTGGTATTTTCATACTTGTATCCTACGTATTATTACATTGCTTTAGACATAGTGTCTTCCATGAAGATAAATTGCCATCTTAGCTAATTTGGAAGAGCCAAGCTCTATTAACTATTAATATAAATAGAAAATATTGACACAAAGTATTCCTTTGTTATTTATTTAGTTGGTTATTTAATTTAAAGATTAATATTTTTACCTTATGGAAAGTTTGGAAAATAGAAAAAAAAATTTATTCATTTTTGAGACAGGGGTCTCACTCTGTTGCACAGGCTGGAGTGTAGTGGCAGGATCTTGGCTCACTGCAGCCTCTGCCTCCCAAGTCCAAGTGATCCTCCCACCTCAGCCTCCCGAATAGCTGGGACTATAGGCACAAGCCATCACACCTGGCTGATTTTTTTTTGTATTTTTTGTAGCAACAGGGTCTCACTTTGTTCCCCAGGCTGGGCTCAAACTCCTGGACTCAAAGGGTCCTCCTGCTTTGCCTTCCCAAAGCTCTGGGATTACAGGCATAAGCCATTGCATCCAGCCTTCCACTGACTTTTTTTTCCCCCCCCAACCATTTGGATTGCATTAAATATCTTTTTCATTTTTTGCATTATTTTTGTAAGCTTTATTCTTAGAAGAGGAATTACTGGGTCTGTTTTTTTATGGTTTTTTATACAATGCCAAAATGTTTTCTTTAAAAAACTTACTAGTCACCTACCAGTGATAAAAAGTTTCAGGCTTGTTTTACCCATCCAAACGTAAGGGGTTATACGTATTTAAATTCTTATAATTTAGAGGACAAATTAGAAATGTACCTTGTTTATATTTCTTTGATGAGAGAGATTAAATGTGTTTATGTGAATTAGATTCCCTGTTTATTAGTCCTGAAATTTTAAACTCTCAATTTGTATGAGCTTTTTAAAAAATAGAAAACATCTTATTTGTCATTTGCTATGGATCTTTTTAGTTCGTTACCATTTAGTTATGATACCTGAGTAGCTATTTTTTACACAAATCTTAACCTTCTCCCTTTGCGATTTTTTTTTTTTTTTTTTTTTTGGTCACTTCTAAATTTATCAAGGTGTTAGATTCTGAGACCTAACATCTGTCAATTTGTCTCCTTTGTTTTGAGATACATGTATTTGTGTGACTTTCTATGTGTATTTATGTGGAATTACTTTTAGTGAAATAAGGTGGAAGTCTGAATTAAAACTTTTTCCCAGTTGTTAATGAAATGTTGCAGTGACTAAATTGTTTTGTGTGCTATAGTAACACTGAGAAGTCCATGAAGTCCAATTATTCTAATGTCTTTTCTTAGTTTTCCTTCAGTTTCATTTATCTCATGCCACCTGAAAACTCCAACATTAACTGTGTTCCCATCTGTTCTTTTTGCTTCTTCAACTAGTAACATTCCTGACTTCATTCTACCACAAATTCTTTTCCACTTTCTTTCTATTATGTCAACCTCACTGTTATGGTGTTAACATTTTCCTTCCTTTTTTGTCACTGCAGGAAGTACTCCCACTACCCCGACCTCCTCTCAAGCCCCACAGAAACTGGATGCTTCTGCAGCTGCAGCCCCTGCCTCTCTGCCACCTTCGTCACCTGCTGCTCCCATTGCCACTTTTTCTTTGCTTCCTGCTGGTGGAGCCCCCACTGTGTTCTCCTTTGGTTCTTCATCCTTGAAGTCATCGGCTACTGTCACTGGGGAGCCATCTTCATATTCCAGTGGTTCTGACAGCTCCAAAGCAGCCCCGAGCCCTGGCCCATCAACCTTCTCTTTTGTTCCCCCTTCTAAAGCCTCCCTAGCCCTCACCCCTGCAGCGTCTCCCACAGGTCCATCAGCTGCCTCATTCTCCTTTGGATCATCTGGTTTTAAGCCTACCCTGGAAAGTACACCAGTGCCAAGTATGTCTGCTCCAAATATAGCAGTGAAGCCCTCCTTCCCACCCTCAACCTCTGCTGTCAAAGTCAACCTGAGTGAAAAGTAAGTCACTTCTAAAGTTTGATTCTTCTGTGGGTTGAGTAGAAATACTAGATGTTATTTGCTACAAGTAGAGTCACTGTGAGAGGAGTTACTGAGTAGAATTTTTTACCCAGAGTAATACTTGCAAATGACAGAAATTCAGCCAACATAAAAAGCTGACATTTCATCAGTGGATAGAGTTCAGAAGTGTCTCTTAGCTAGCATTTTATTTGTTTATTTTTTTGACTACTAGGGATTTATATTCAGATATTTGTTTTGCTTTTTTACATTATAAATGTAGGCAATATTATTTTAAAAAAAAGAAGCAATCCAGAATATGTATCCTGGAAGGGAAATGAATCCCTTGTTGTCTTTTTTCCTCCCGTGTCTACCCTTAACTCACTCTGAACTGCTGTCTACACAACCACAAAGTCATCTTGTGACACTGTAAATCGTTAGGTAATTCTTCTGCTTGACAGTCCCTATGAAGTCCCGTGGCTGCTCACTGCTAATTCTTAGGTTGGTATCCAGTTTCCTCCAGATCTGGGTCCTGCAGCTCACTCATTTCTTATTTATTTACTTTTTTATCTGCTTGTTCTTTTCTCCCCACTAGAATGTAAGCTTTTTGAGGGAAGCAGTCCCTTATATCTTATAACCCCTCCCAAGATAACCATGAGTTCCTAAGATAACCACGAAATATAAGTACTACCAGCTTTTTCCCTGCTTGCCTGTCCTATCTGTTGTTGCTGTGGTGGTGGTGCTGCCGCCACAGTTACTGTTAGTACTGAACTGGCACACATCCACTTCATGCTAAGGGTTACATAGTGTTCCATTTTGCTGGCTGCACCACAGTTTATCTGACCAGTCTTCTAATGCTGGATGTTTAGATTGTCTACAGACTTTTGCTCTTTAGGTGGAGCCGACTTTACATTTCTTTTAGGCCATAAGTATCCCAAAGACAGTGACCTGCATTCCTCTTCCTTTTTCACTCCCCAGAGAAGGTGCTCACTCTTAAAAGGAGTTCTCAGTAATTTCCTTGGTAAGAGAAAGTACTAACTCTCCTAAGCATAATTGTGTCCCACCTCATGTTTAAAACTCAGCTGGAAACAATAGCATTTCGTATCATGATCAGCTTGATATTTCATATTGTGATAAACTTAGTTTTATCTTCAAGTTAAGTACTTGATATTTCCCCTGAATAATTAATTCCTAAATAAGCAGACAATAAGAGAAATGTTTCCTTGCAGCTTTCACCTTTTATAAGAAGTAGCTAAACATTTATGTTTCCTGAAGGCAAAATGTATGTTATCTTTGTAAGTTAACATAAAAGATAATAAGTTATCTTTTTATGACATTGCTCATGCTAGTGTAAAAGAATCTTCTAGCAGGCTCTTCTGAGACCTTGGGGCTGCCATTTTTCAGGTTTACTGTTGCGGCTACCTCTGCTCCTGTTAGTAGCTCCCAGAGCGCACCCTCGATGCCGCCATTCTCTTCTGCCTCCATGCCAGCTGCTTCTGGACCACTCAGCCATCCCACGCCTCTCTCAGCATCACCTAATTCAGTGCCATTGAAGTCCTCAGTCTTGCCCTCACCATCAGGTATGATTTTAAGCAGACAACTTTAGACCTCAGCCCTGCCTTCTCAGATTAACAGTTTTAAGTGTTAAGAGTCCTACTAACATAGTTGGACAAGGTTATTTTTTCTTGCTTCCTGTATCATGCATTAATGATTAATGTGCTGTGATTTTCATACTCTGAATTGGGAGATTTGCTCTGGCTTAATGCTGCCACGCTTCTCTCTGACACTTCTTATGGAGCTAAGTGTACTTAATGATTCAAAGAACATGTCTTGCTCTTGGGCGTTTATTTTCATGTGGAGTCTGCCCTCCATGAAGAGCAGTTACAGAACAGTTCTTTAAGAAACACAGGCAAAAGAATTGTTTGGTGGGGTGCGGTGGCTCACGCCTGTAATACCAGCACTTTGGGAGGCCGAGGCAGGTGAATCACCAGAGGTTAGGAGTTCATGACCAGCCTGGCCAACATGGCAAAGCCCCATCTCTACTAAAAATACAAAAATGAGCCAGGTGTGGTGGCGGGTGCCTGTAATCCCAGCTACTCGGGAGGCTGAGGCAGGAGAATCACTTGAAACTAGGAGGCGGAGATTGCAGTGAGCTGAGATTGTGCCACTGCATTCCAGCTTGGGCTACAGAGCGAGACTCCGTCGCGGAAAAAAAAAAAAGAAACACAGAAGAGAGAGTACCTGCAGTGACTGTATTTGTATTTTCACAGTCAGTCATACTGCTGTAAGCAGGAAGGTTTTTTTGTTTGCTTTTGTTTTTTTTGAGACACTCTCACTCTCTCACCCAGGCACATCACTGCAGCCTCTACCTCCTGGGCTCAAGTGATCTTCCCACCTCAGCCTCCCGAGTAACTCAGGCATGTACCACAACCGTCGGCTAATATTTAAAATTTTTTATAGAGACAGGATCTTGCCATCTTGCTCAGGCTGGTCTCAAACTCCTGGGCTCAAGCAATCCTCCTGCCTCAGTCTCCCAAAAGGCTAGGATTACAGGTTTGAGCCACCATACCTGGCTCCTAAAATTTTAATTTTTTTTTTTCATTGTCTTAGAACAAAGGCTAGCGCAGCTGGTGGTCATCACTCTTTAAAGTAAATCATGAAAGTGGGCCCGGGGGCAATGTGTAACTTCATTTCTTAGATTTGGAGAAAGGACATTTGTGATAGGAGAAATAAAGGTAATAAATGCTATATATTTTAACTGACTTCTTTTTCAAGCAGGACGATCTGCTCAGGGCAGTCCAAGCCCTGTGCCCTCAATGGTACAGAAATCACCCAGGATAACCCCTCCAGCAGCAAAGCCAGGCTCTCCCCAGGTGTGTTTAAATTCAGTTTGCGATGTTTGTGTTTATTAATTTACTGCCCCAAGCATACATATGAATAAAATAAATTTTCATGTTTTAGAATTCAGACCTTGGACATAGTAATTGGGACTATGTGATAGTAAATACCAAAGTGCGAGGTTCGAATACTTGTATACTCATAAAAGCCATTTAGCTATTTTAATTTTTTATTCTTGTATAATACACATAGAAAAAAGTACACATGATACTTGTACAGCTCAGTGAATTGTCACCAACTGAACATACCTTGGTAACGAGCATCCAGATTAAGAAACAGAATTTTACAAGAACCTGGCTGGGCATGGTGGCTCACGACTGTAATCCCAGCACTTTGGGAGGCCACGGCGGGCAGATCACCTGAGGCCAGGAGTTCGAGACCAGCCTGGTCAACATGGTGAAACCCCGTTTCTCCTAAAAATGCAAAAATTAGCTGGGCGTGGTGGCGCGCACTTGTAGTCCCAGCTCCTGGGGAGGCTGAGGCGTGAGAATCACTTGAACCCAGGAGGCGGAGGTCAGAACCCCAGCGTTCTTTTTCACCTATCCCCTTCTAATCACTACTCTTGCCAGAGTAGCTGGTTTCCCGATTTCCGATAGCATAGATGAGGTTAGCCTGCCTGTACCTCCTATCACGTGGAATTGTACAGTATGTATTCTTATATCTGGCTCCTTTGTTCAACATTATGTTTGTGAGATTTATCCATGTCATTGTTGTATGGAATTTATTGTGTGATTATATTACAAGTATTTGTTCCACTCTAATGGGCACTTGAGTAGTTTCCAGGTTTAAGCCATTGTATGTAGTACTGCTATGACCGTTCCAGTTGATGTCTTCAGTGAACACATGTACAGGTTTCTCTTGGGTTTATCCCTAGGAGTGAGATTGCTGGATCATAGACTCTGCATGTATTCCTCATTAGTAGATTCCCCCCAAGAGTGTATGAGACTTTTGGCTGCTCCACCTACTTGCCACTCTTGGTATTTTTCATCTTTTCTTGTATTGTTTTGTGGTTTTAATTTGTATTTCTCTAATGATTAGCAAAATTGAGCTTTTTGAAATATGATTATTGGCCATTTGAATATTTCCTTTTATGTTGTGTCCGTTCATGTCTTTATTCTATTTTTCTGTTGGATTGCCGGCTTTTTCCTTCTGATTTTTAAGAGTTAGTTCCTTGAATACACACACATACATGCACATACAATGCAAATACGTTCTCACTGTGAATTGTCTATTCATTGTCTTTTTGGTCTCTTCAATGAATACACGTTCTTCATTTTAATACAGTTGAGTATATCAGTTTTTTTTTTTTTTAATTTTATTTTTGAGATGGAGTCTGGCTCTGTCGCCCAGGCTGGAGTGCAGTGGCGCCATCTCGGCTCACTGCAAGCTCCGCCTCCCAGGTTCACGCCATTCTCCTGCCTCAGCCTCCTGAGCAGCTGGGACTACAGGCGCCCGCTACCACGCCCGGCTAATATTTTTTGTATTTTTAGTAGAGACGGGGCTTCATGGTGTTAGCCAGGATGATCTCCATCTCCTGACCTTGTGATCCACCTGCCTCGGCCTCCCAAAGTGCTGGGATTACAGGCGTGAGCCTCCGTGCCCGACGAGTATATCAGTTTTTCTTCTTTTATGATTAATGTTTTTCCTGTTTTGTTTTAGAAATCATTTTCTATTTCAAGGTCAAAAGATGTTTTTCTAAAAGCTTTGTTATTTTATCTTTCGTATTTAGATTTGTAGTCCGTCATCTCAGTTTATTTTTATGGTGTAATGTAAAGAGAATTGTATGTCTGTTTCCCACGTGATTACTTGAGTGCCCTGAAAACGAGAGTTATGTCTTTTCCTTTCTGTGTCCCCCTAACCAACCCTTCTCCTACCCTAACACACACCTGTACTGGGTACATAGTAAGTGCCCAGGTCACAGTTCACGCTTGTGGCACGATGGATGACACACAGTGTTTGTCAGATAAATGTTTGCTGTTAATGAATGCTGATGCAGTCTAAGACCTCTTTAGTGTTAATCGTTGTTAAGTATCAAATAGTCTAAAGGGCATTTCAAATTATAGCATCTTTAAAGCAGAACTCTTGATTTCTGTCTCCTCTAGAGGCTAGTCCTTTTCCAATGAATAAGTAGCACTAACAAACCAGATGTTTGCACAAGTCCCAAGCCCCAAAGCATCCTAGATCCCTCTCTTCAACGGTACCTGTCCCCAGTCCAGGCTGGCAGGAGGTCTTGTCAGCTCTACCCTCTGCTGTGTCACATGTCATAAGGCCACAGCTCTGTCCCCCTGCTAGCATCCTGTGTCAAGCTGTTGCCACCTCTCACCTTGTTAACCTCTTGAGTACTCTCTCTGCTGTCCCTGCTCTAGATAGCAGCAAGAGAGATCTTTTAACTCATAAAGGAGATTTAAACTCTCCTAAAACACCAGTAGTAGCTTTCCAGCACCTTTAGAATAGAACCCAAACTCCTTGTTGTGACCTTACATGACCTACCCTGGCCTGCCTTCCTGACCCCACCCCTGCCCTTTCCAGCGTCCGCCCTGACTTCACAGAGCCCATGTTTACTTTTTTTCTTTGCCAAAGTTTCTCCTGCCTTGAGACCTCTGCACTTCCCTTTCTTGCTGCCTGGCAGGTGCTTCCTGCAGATCCCATAGCTTGCTTTCTGCTTGCAGCCTCAGTTCAGAGGGCAGCCCGCAGTGAGGGCTTTCTTGGCCATCTCATCTGAAGTAGTGCCCTCTTTTATTCTCTTTATGTTTTCCTGTTTGTTCTCCAACTGAAATTATCAGATGTGTTTATATTTTATTATTTAGCATGTCCTAGTAGGAGGTAAGTTCCATGAGAGTTGGGCCCTCATCTACTTGTTCACCTCTACCTACACTGTCTAGAACTGGCCTTACACAAAGTAGAGATCCTATAAATAAGGGTTTGTTAGAATGAGTGAAGAAACAATGCTGTGTTACAGGAGCACCACTCCCTATAATAGGCACTGATATAATTGCGTATAGAAGCTATGGCTTGGGCCGGGCGCAGTGGCTCACGCCTGTAATCCCAGCACTTTGGGAGGCCGAGGCTGGTGGATCACGAGGTCAGGAGATCGAGACCATCCTGGCCAACACAGTGAAACCCCGTCTCTACTAAAAAAAAAAAAAAAAAAATACAAAAAGTTAGCCGGGCATGGTGGTGGGCACCTGTAGTCCCAGCTACTCGGGAGGCTGAGGCAGAAGGATGGTGTGAACCCAGGAGGCGGAGCTTGCAGTGAGCCGAGATTGCGCCACTGCACTCCAGCCTGGACAATAGAGCCAGACTCCGCCAAAAAAAAAAAAAAAAAAAGCAGCTATGGCTTATATAGGATCAATTTTTAAACCTTTTGCCTTCCATTTCAGGCAAAGTCACTTCAGCCTGCTGTTGCAGAAAAGCAGGGACATCAGTGGAAAGATTCAGATCCTGTGATGGCTGGAATTGGGGAGGAGGTAAATTTGCTTCCTGAGGATGTTTTTCTGGAAGTTGCTGACAGACTTGAATGGGTCAGAGTGCCAACCCCTATATGACTAGTTCATTCTAGCATTGAAGCATGACCCATCCCAGCAGTCTGAGCAGTTAGTAAGCACAGTAGCAATGACATTACTGTTTGTCCTTCAGACTGAGTAGTTCCTCACTTGTGTCTTCTACAGATTGCACACTTTCAGAAGGAGTTGGAAGAGTTAAAAGCCCGAACTTCCAAAGCCTGTTTCCAAGTGGGCACTTCTGAGGAAATGAAGATGCTACGAACAGAATCAGATGACTTACATACCTTTCTTTTGGAGATTAAAGAGACCACAGAGGTTTGGGTTTATGGATACTTTTCCTGAGTTGAATTGCATTTTAACAATTTTTTTTTCTCCTAATACTCCGTGCGTGTATTTACTTTATTTCTTCAAGGACCACCAATGTTGTTGTTTTTTTAACATGACTGAGTAGCTTGCCTAGAATCCCTGAGTTCATATTCTACCTTCAGCACGTAATAAATTATGTGACTTTGGGCAAGTTAACCTAGTTACTCTGTTTTTTGGTTTTCTCATCCATAAGGTGGAGTGAGTTTCTACCCCTTTGAGACATGCTATGCACTCCATAAAGTTTATTATAGTTGTTAATTTAATTTAGGTATATTTGAAATTTTACTATCTTAAAGTATTAGATTTTTTAAAAAGGATATTTTAGGACATATGCAGTATGAAAATATTAAATGTTTGGTGTTAATAGTGTTAATTATTGTTACTGTTATTACTACTTACTGTGTGCCAGGAACTGTGCCAAACACATCACTTGTATTATCTCACTGAATCCTCCACAACTTTGCTGTGTCATACATACTGTTACTTTCTCTATTTTGCAAGTCAGGAAACTGAGGCTTAGGTAAATTTGTCAAAAGTCACCCACTTAGCAAGTGGTGGTGCCAGGATTCTGCTTCAGACTGTCTGATTCCAGAGTTTGGGTCTTAAATAGCATGTTTGGAAAGAGGAAAGTTCTTTAGAGTGTTAGCAGTAATTATCTTCACATAGTAGTATTAGAGCCCGTGCTTTTTGTATTTTCTGCATTTTCAGTCGTTAGAATGTATTTTTTTTTAATGGAGATGAAAAATAAATGTAAAAAAAGAACATTAGTGTCTTTCTAAACAGTTAAATTCTTTTTTTACATGAGTTTAGTATATTCATATGTTCGTTGTGTTCAGTGTTTGAGAAACACCACCTTCCTTGATCCAAACAGAAAGGTTTGGACTTAACAACTTTTTGCATCAACGCATTATTGTACTTTTTCTAGTCGCTTCATGGAGATATAAGTAGCCTGAAAACAACTTTACTTGAGGGCTTTGCTGGTGTTGAGGAAGCCAGAGAACAAAATGAAAGAAATCGTGACTCTGGTTATCTGCATTTGCTTTATAAAAGACCACTGGATCCCAAGAGTGAAGCTCAGCTTCAGGTAGGAGATCTATGTAAATCTATTTAAAAGATTTAAAAACAAACTCATGTAACAATTGCTACCTCTTTTTGCATATAGATTTGGATGATGGCTCTTTTTGAAGTCGTTGATTTTCTGCTTATAATTTACCATACTTCCCATAAACTTCCTTAACTGTGGCAAAAAAAAAAAAAAAAAAAAAAAAAAAACCAGTGCACTTCATGTAATTATGTAATTTTTTTTCATTTAAAAAATAGATTTAAAATTTTTTTTTTTTTTTCTTGAGGCAGGGTCTTCTCACTCTGTTGCCAGGCTAGTGTGCAGTGGCGTGATCACAGCTCCCTGCAGTCTTGACCTCCTGGGCTTACGTGATCCTCTTGCCTCAGTCTCCTGAGTAGCCAGGACCACAGGCATGTGCCACCACACTTGGCTAATTTTGAATATTTTATTTGGAGAGACAAGGTGTTACTATGCTACCCAGCCCAGGCTGGTCTTGGAACTCCTGGGTTCAAGCAGTCCTCCTGCCTTGGCCTCCCAAAGTGCTGGAATTACAGGTGTGACTGGCCAAAATTCTTTATTGAACCTTAAGCTTGATATAGAGTACTCTGTTGAAACATATATTTATATGTTGAATTATAAATAGTAGTTATTAAAGTGGCAACTATTTCTTGAGTGCCATTTAATCTGCTAGGTGTTTCTTATGCATTATTTCTAGCCTTCAAAGCCAGCTGCTCTGCAAGGTAAGAGTTACTGGTCCCTGTAGCCCCATTATACAGCTAACTGGAAATTAAATTTCATAGGCTAAGTAGGTTGTCCAAGGTCATGTTGGCTAGGAAAAGGGGAACCAGAATTGAAACCTCCATTTGCCTGAGCTCTTTTCTGTATGCCACACTTTAGCTTTTCTTTTGAATTCTTTTTTTTTTTGAGACGGAGTCTCACACTGTTGCCCAGGCTGAAGTGCAGTGGCACCATCACAGCTCACTGCAGCCTCAGCCTCCTGGGCTCAAGTGATCCTCCCACCTGAGCCTCCCACATAGTTGGGACTACAGATGTGTGCCACCACACCCAGCTGATTTTTAAATTTTTTGTAGAAATCGGGTCTCACTACATTATCCAGGCTGGTCTCGAACTCCTGAGCTCAAGTCATCCTCCTGCCTTTGTAATCCCAAAGTTCTGGGGTTACAGGTGTGAGCCACCATTCTTAATTATTCTTAATCTCTGCTTTCACTAATTGGATTTTGCTTTCCATCTTTTAGTTTACACCGAATCATTGTGTCACTGGCCTTAGTGTGGGGTTTCTCTTCTGCTATCTCACATTTGTCTGGCATTCCAGCGGGAAGGGTTCACTGGCATTTCTGGTCTTCCTCATGACATCTGTGGGGTTTGCGGGTGTGATGAGTCGTTCTTGCCTCAGATAATTTGAGGCTGCAAGCTTTATTGTTCCCCAGTGTTTCTGTCCCACACCTGGTCAACTTACTGAAAATTAAAAAAAAAAAAGAAAGGTTCCTTCTTCAACAATATTGCAGAGCCCTTACTGTGATCTGCAGCCCTCTGGTATTCCTGATGCATCCTCCTTCTACCTATTATCTCTCAGCGAGAGAGTGCTGCCTGCCTACTGCTTATCAAATTACAGGCATCCACTCTGCGTCCTAGCTACATGTTCTTCCTACATGCCTTTCCACCTATTTCTCTATTAACAAACTAAGAGGAAAGCATACAGCTTTAGGGGAATGCTTATTCAGAAGGGAATAATTTTCTTTTTTCATGGTGCTAAGTAGGTAATACTAGTCAGCATGTATTGAGTGTTTACTGTGGGCAATGCACAGATGATGAAACCAAGATAACTGAAACTGCCCAGGTTTTACCACTAATAAACCTTGAAACCTTGAACCTGGGCAGTCTGACTCAAGAGCCTCTGCTCGTACTCAAGAGTCTGGTTTACAGTTCACGCAGGTTTACAATTCTTGCAGTTGGGTAAGTGACAGAAAGATGAACATGTAAATGTAGTGTGGGATATGTTGCTATGGGACCACAGGTGAGGGAGTAGCTGAGCCAGAGAAAAGAAGTATTTGTGTTAGGCTTTAAAAGAATAATTGTTTTTGGCTGGTGGACACAATTGGGAAGGCATTCCAAAGAAACAGCAGCAGCTAACACAGAGGTGTGGTTGTATCTGAAGAGATCAAAGGAAAGAGCCTTCTGTAGTCATCAAGTATTAAGTTGAAAGTTACATTTGCTACTAAGGTTATTTCTACTTCTCTTGAATCAGCTTGGCTCTTTTTAAATTACATTTTCTCTTTTTCAGATGGGACATATACCCTTATCCACAATTATGGTTTGTTTTTTTTTTAATTTTTAAAAATTTCAATAATTTTTGGGGAACAAGTGGTGTTTGGTTACATGGATAAGTTCTTTAGTGGTGATTTCTGAGATTTTGATCTCCCATCACCCAAGCAGTGTACACTGTACCCAGTGTGTAGTCTTTTAGCCCTTACTGCCCCCCTTCCCCCCAAGTCTCCAGAGTCCATTGTATCATTCTGTTTATTTATTTATTTAGAGACAGTCTCATTCTGTCACCCAGGCTGGAGTGCAGTGATGTGATCTTGGGTCACTGCATCCTCTTTCACTGTTTTGGCCAGGCTGGTCTTGAATTCCTGACTTCAAGTGTTCTGCCCATCTTGGTCTCCTGGAAAGCTAGGATTATAGGTGTGAGCCACTGTACCCGTTCCATTGTATCATTCTTATCCCTTTGCATCCTCATAGTTTAGCTCCTGCTTATGATCCTATTAGAACAAATGGTGTTTGGTTTTCAATTCCTGAGTTACTTCACTTAGAATAATGGTCTCCAGCTCCTCCCAGGTTGCTGCAAATGCCATTATTTCATTCCTTTTTATGACTGAGTAGTAGTGTATATATGTGTGTCACATTTTCTTTATCCACTTGTTGATTGATGGGCATTTGGAGTGGTTCTATATTTTTGCAATTGCGAATTGTGCTGCTGTAAACATGAGTATGCAAGTGTCTTTTTCATGTAATGACTTCTTTTTCTCTTGGTAGATACACAGTAGTAGGATTGCTGGATCAAATGGTAGATACTTTTAGTTCTTTAAGGAATCTCCATACTGTTTTCTGTGGTGGTTGTACTAGTTTACGTTCCCACCAGCAGTGTAAAAGTATTCCCTTTTTACTACATCCACGCCAACATCTATTATTTTTTGATTTTTTAATGATGGCCATTCTTGCAGAAGTAAGATGGTATTGCATTGTGGTTTTGATTTGCTTTTCCCTGATAATTAGTGATGTTGAGCATATTTTCGTATGTTTGTCAGCCATTTGTGTATCTTTTAAGAATTGTTCATGTCCATAGCCCACTTTTTGGTGGAATTGTTTGTTTTGTTCTTGCTGATACATTTGAGTTCCTTATAGATTCTGGATATTAGTCCATTGTCAGATGCATAGTTTGTGAAAATTTTCTCCCAATCTGTGAGTTGTCTGTTTACTCTGCTGATTATTTCTTTTGCTGTGTAGAAGCTTAATTAAGTCCCATTTATTTACCTTTTTGCTGCATTCGCTTTTGGATTCTTGTTCATGAACTCCTTGCCTAAGTCAGCCTCTATAAGAGTTTTTCTGATGTTATCTTCTAGAATTTTTATGGTTTCAAGTCTTAGATTTAAGTCTTTGATCCATCTTGAGTTGATTTTTGTATAAGGTGAAAGATGAGGATCCAGTTTCATTGTTTTATGTGTGGCTTGCCAGTTATCCCAGCACTATTTGTTGAATAGGGTGTCCTTCCCCCAGTGTATGTTTTTTGTTTGCTTTGTTGAAGATCAGTTGGCTCTAAGAATTTGGCTTTATTTCTGGGTTCTCTATTCTTTTCCATTGGTCTGTCTGCCTGTTTTTGTACCAGTACCATGGTGTTTTGGTGACTATAGCCTTGTAGTATAGTTTGAAGTCAGACAATGTGATAACTCCAGATTTGTTCTTTTTGCTTATTCTTGCTTTGACTGTGTGGGCTCTTTTTAGTTTTATATGAATTTTAGGATTTTTTTTTCTAGTTCTGTGAAGAATGATGATGGTATTTTGATGAGAAATGCCTTGCATTTGTAAATTGTTTTTGGCAATATGGTCATTTTCACAATATTGATTCTACCCATCCATGAGCGTAGGATGTATTTCTATTTGTTTGTGTTGTTTCCATTTGTTTGTGTCGTCTATTATTTCTTTCAGCAATGTTTTGTAGTTTTCCTTGTAGAGGTCTTTCACCTCCTTGGTTAGGTATATTCCTAAGTTTGGGGTTTTGTTTTTGTTTTTGATTTTTGGTTTTTATTTTTTGCATATCAGATCTAGGACCTTTTTGGATGAGTCTTTAGGGGTTTTTAGGTACACGATCATAACATTGGCAAACAGCAGCCGTTTGACTTTTTCTTTACCAATTTGGATACCCTTTATTTTTTCTCTTGTCTGATTTCTCTGGCTACACAAATAATTTTGAAAATACATTTAAACATAATAAGATCTCTCTATAGATGTAAACTGCTTTTCCTAGTGTATAGCACATTATCTCCATTTGTAGACATACTTAATTGAATGCCTCAGTTTTATTTATTTATTTTTTTTTAAGAGGCAGAGTTTTGCTATGTAGCCCAGGAGTGCAATGGCTATTCACAGGCATGATTATGGTACACAAAAGCCTTGAATTCCTGGACCTGGGATCCTCCTAATTCAACCTCCTGAGTAGCTGGGACTATAGGTGTACCTCACCTTGTCTAGCTCTGTTTTGTTTTTGTTTTTGTTTTTTATGTTAGACAGGGTCTTTCTCTGTTGCTTGGGCCAGAGTGTGTAGTGTGGTGGCTTGATCCTAGCTCACTGCAGTCTCAAACTCGGGCTCAAGTGAGCCTCCTGCTTCAGCCTCCCAAGTAGCCAGGACTACAGGCACACGCCACCACATGCCTGGCTAATTTTTTTTTTTTTTTTTTTTGAGTCGGAGTCTCTCTCTGTGGCCCAGGCCTGAGTGCAGTGGCACAGTGGCACAATCTTGGCTCACTGCAAGCTCCGCTTCCCGGGTTCACGCCATTCTCCTGCCTCAGCCTCCCAAGCAGCTGGGACTACAGGCACCCGCCACCATGTCCGGCTAATTTTTTTGTATTTTTTAGTAGAGACGGGGTTTCACTGTGTTAGCCAGAATGGTCTCGATCTCCTGACCTCGTGATCCGCCCGCCTCAGCTTCCCAAAGTGCTGGGATTATAGGCGTAAGCCACCGCGCCCGGACTTGCCTGGCTAATTTTTAACATTTTTGTAGAGATGGGGCCTTGCTCTGTTGCCCAGGCAGGTCTTGAACTCCTGGGCCCTAGCACTCCTCCTGGTTTGGCCTCCCAAAGTGCTGAGATTACAAGTGTGAGCCACTGTGTCTGGCCTTTGGTTTTTTTGAAACAGTCTCACTCTGTTGCCGAGGCTGGAGTGCAGTGGTGCAATCTCAGCTCACTGCAACCTCTGCCTCCTGGGTTCATGCAGTTCTCCTGCCTCAGCCTCCTGAGTAGCTGGGATTACAGGCGTGCACCACCACGCCCAGCTAATTTTTGTTCTTTCTGTTTTGTTTTGGAGACAAGATCTCACTTTGTCGCCCAGGTTGGAGTGCAGTGGCGTGATCTCAGCTCACTGCAACCTCCACCTTCCAGGTTCAAGTGATTCTCCTGTCTCAGCCTCTGGAGTAGCTGGGATTACAGGTGCGCACCACCACACCCGGGTAATTTTTGTATTTTTAGTAGAGATGGGGTTTCACCGTGTTGACCAGGCTAGTTTCGAACTCCTGGCCTCAAGTGCTCCACCTGCCTTGGCCTCCCAAAGTACTGGGATTACAGGCATGAGCCACTGCACCCAGCTCTAATTTTTGTATTTTCAGTAGAGACAGGGTTTCACCATGTTGGCCAGGCTGGTCTTAAGCTCCTGACCTCGAGTGATCCACCCATTGTGGCCTCCCAAAGTGCTGCGATTACACACGTAAGCCACCATGCCTGGCCTGTTTTTTTGTTTAGAGACAGTCTTGCTCTGTTACCCAGGCTGGAGTGCAGTGGCACGATCTCAGCTCACTGCAGCCTCTGCCTCCCGTGTTCAAGTGGTTCTTGTGCCTCAGCCTCCTAAGTACTTGGGATTATAGGCGTGCATCACCATGCCCAGCTAATTTTTGTATTTTTAGTCAAAGCAGGGTTTCACCATGTTGGCCAGGCTGGTCTGGAACTCCTGACCTCAGGTGATCCGCCCACCTCAACTTCCCAAAGTGCTGGGATTACAGGTGTGAGCCACAGCACCCAGCCACCTGGCCTGTTTTTAATTTTTGAGAATCAAGTTGCATAGCCGTGAAGGTTAACAGTCGCCCAAAATTTAAATAAAATTATTGCAAGCCTATAATAAGTTAAATAGCTAAAATTTTAAATAATGGCAGATTCAGTTTTTAGTGCTAATACTGTTCTTTGCTTTTGTGAACAAATGAGTATTTCTCAACTGGGAAGATGACTTACAGGTTCTATGCTGTGAATAGATAGGCTCAGAATTATTTTCAGCACTGTTTGTCTCCATTACAGTTAATTTTATGGGTGGGGGAGCAAAATCTAAATGGATGCACTGTCTGAGTACCAGAATGGAATGGAAAATTCCCAGACCATGGAACTGAGAAATGAGAATTAAGAACATTTGTTCCCCGGGGACCTAGGCAGACACACCCATTCTGTTTCCCTTTTCATTGTACCAGGTCTCTGCCACCTCTGCCTCCTGGATTCAAGCGATTCTCTTGCCTCAGCCTCCTGAGTAGCTGGGATTATAGGCACCTGCCACCCTGCCTGGCTAATTTTTGTCTTTTTAGTAGAGACGGGGTTTCACCATGTTGGCCAGGCTGGTCTCGAACTCCTGACCTCAAGTGATCCTCACGCCTCGGCCTCCCAAAGTGGGGAGCCACCACGCCCAGCCGATTTTGTTTTTCGTTTTAATTATAAAGTTTTCTTAATGTAACTTTTTTTATTTTTATGCATTATTAGAGACAGATTCTCGCTTTGCTGCCCAGGCTGATCTTTAACTCCTGGCTTCAAGCAATCCTCCTGCCTTGGCCTCCCAGAGTGTTGGGATTGTAGGCCTGAGCCACTGCACCTGGCCTCATTTTAATTATATAATTTTAATAATCGTATTAAAACCTATTCTGATTTCCTTGTTCATTATGGTTCTTAATATAGAAGTATTTTAGAATTCTTTTGACTGTTTTGATACATTTTCCCCCAAACTATCAGAAAAACAAGTCATTTGCCTTTTAATTTTCTTCTTATAGGAAATTCGGCGCCTTCATCAGTATGTGAAATTTGCTGTCCAAGATGTGAATGATGTTCTAGACTTGGAGTGGGATCGGCATCTGGAACAAAAGAAAAAACAAAGGTGAGTGAGATCTCTCATCTGCAATGTGTTGGAATAGATATTGCTATTGCCGTTTTAAAAAGGTGATTTAGGAACCTATGAAAATCCCCAGCCGGGTACAGTGGCTCATGCCTGTAATTCCGGCACTTTGGGAGGCTGAGGCAGGTGGATCACCTGAGGTTAGGAGTTTGAGACCAGCCTGACCAACATGGAGAAACCCTGTCTCTACTAAAAATACAAAATTAGCCGTGCATGGTGGCACATGCCTGTAATCCCAGCTACTCGCAAGGCTGAGGCAGGAGAATTGCTTGAACCCAGGAGGCAGAGGTTGCAGTGAGCTGAGATTGTGTGCCACTGCACTCCAGCCTGGGCAACAAGAGCAAAGCGGTGTCTCAAAAAAAAAAAAGAAAGGAAAAAGAAAATCCCTACAAAATGTTCATTCTTTTTAACAGTCATTCTACTTGAAATATTTTTCTACAGAAACAAATGATACAATAATTTACATAAAACAGTTTATATTGCGATATAATTTATGATAGTGAAAAATTGTATTCAACCTAATTATCTAAAGGTACAGGAGTAGCTAAATAAATATGGTCACTTTTTTTCTTAACTACAGAATACCCTGTAACCATTGACTAGCGTGTTCTCCAATAAATTATTTAATATATTGAATATGTATTCTATGTTCTACAAAATGTGTAGAATATATAACTTTTGCTATAATTATTAGATGTAATATAAAAATTTAATAAGTAAAAAGACAAAAGCATATTGGCTAATAACAATGTGGAGGTACAAAAGTATATCGATGTATCAAAATATTCATAGTTATATCTGTAAAACAGGATTAAGGAGAATTTTCCTTAATACTCTTCTGTATATTTCAGATTTTCTTTTTGAGAAAACATTTGTAATTAGTGTGGATAATTAAAAGGATGAGAGGAATGATAGCAAAGTAATGGGAAAACCTTTTAGCATAGTTTTTTATCCCTAGATATTTGGTTTTAAGCCACATATTTCCCACAAGGAATAGAATGCTGTGCCCCATGAAAGTGTGAAGTGCCCATTAGAAATTTGAAAAACAAATCAGCCCTGAAATGTTAGATTTCTGAAACACCTACACTTGATTAATAGATTAGCTAGCCCTGTATGAAAACAAACCAAGAAATGGTCTATTTGATGTACTTTTCAGTGGGACAACCTGGTTGTGATATCAGGGACAGGACTATAATACACTTATAATTTAGTAAGCAGAATTCAATAAATTACATTGTGTTATGTGGAGAAAGGCTAAAAATCCCAACTGGAGAACCCTCAGCTTGCAGCATTTATAGGTACAGGGAGATAGAAGTGAGAAGCTCTCCTCCCCCACTACCTACATGGAGGATTCCTGTGGCCCATGGACTGGAGCACTTGTCTCCATGGGCAGTGGGGTCCCATTAGAGAGCCAGCGCACACACCTGGTTCTGATTCATGTTCAGCCATATGGTTTGCTTTCCCACAAGGGAAACAATGGTGTAACCTGACAGTGGGTACATTCTGCTCTGCTCAATGGTTCTATTTCTCTTTGATAATTAACAAGTTAGCCTTGTAAGAAAGTGCATGATGCTTAAAGAGAAGCCAGGCTTTTTTTTCCCTTTGTACCAGTTCTGTGGATTTACTACTTATGCTTTTCTGAGTTCTCTTTCTGCAGAGTTCAAATTCTTAAATCTGTATAATTTTCTATTTTGATAGCACTTCTCTGTTTTAGGGCCATCCCTGAATATTACCTTGTATGTACCCTATTGAAATACCTTTTTTATTTTACTTTATTTTATTTTTTGAGACCAAGTCTTGCTCTGTCACCCACACTGGAGTGCAGTGGCGTGATCTCAGCTCATTGCAACCTCTGCCTCCGGGGTTCAAGCAATTCTCCTGCCTCAGCCTCCTTGAGTAGCTGGGATTACAGGCGTGCACCACCACACCCGGCTAATTTTTGTATTTTTAATAGAGATGGGGTTTCACCATGTTGGTTAGGCTGGTCTCCAACTCCTGACCTCGTGATCCGCCCACCTCGTCCTCCGAAGGTGCTGTAATTACAGGCGTGAACCACCATGCCTGGCCTGAAATGCCTTTTAAAAATTGTATGTTGAACTACCTTGTTACCAGAGGCAGTCATTCAGTCAACCCTGAACTCAAAGAGATAATGGGAAAAGAGGAAATAAATCCAGAGGTTTCTGTTTAGCAAGCATTTTTCATTCCGTGATTTGTGTTAAGAGGCAAAATATACATAGAGTCGCCGGGCGTGGTGGCTCACGCCTGTAATCCCAGCACTTTGGGAGGCCGAGGCGGGCAGATCACAAGGTCAGGAGATCGAGACCACGGTGAAACCCCGTCTCTACTAAAAATACAAAAAATTAGCCGGGCGCGGTTGTGGGTGCCTGTAGTCCCAGCTACTCGGGAGGCTGAGGCAGGAGAATGGCGTGAACCCGGGAGGCGGAGCTTGCAGTGAGCCGAGATGGCGCCACTGCACTCCAGCCTGGGCGACAGAGCGAGACTTCGTCTCAAAGAAAAAAAAAATATATATATATACATAGAGTCACTTGTTGCTTAATGTGTTCTGAGAAGTTCATTGTTAGGCCATTTTGTCATTGTATGATCATCATAGAATGTACTTATACTGTGTGCACTTACTACCTAGATGACATAGCTTATTACATACCTAGGCTCTTATGGTGTATAGCCTGTTGCTCCTAGACTACAGTACCATGCAGCAAGCTTGTCCAACCCTTGGCCTGCAGGCTTCATGTGGCCCAGGACAGGTTTGAATGCAGCTCAACACAAATTCGTAAACTTTCTTAAAACATTATGAGATTTTTTTTTTATTTTTTTTTAAGCTTATCAGCTAGCATTAGTATATTTTATGTGTGGCCCAAGACAATTCTTCCTCCAGTGTGGCCCAGGGAAGCAAAAGATTAGACACCCCTGCTGTATAGCATGGTTTTGTACAATTGTGCTATAGACAATTGTAACACAAATCACTAGGCAATAGGAATTCAGCTCTACTGTAATCTTATTGGATCATCGTTGTATATGCTGTCCATCATTGACCAAAACGTCATTATGTGGCACATGACGGTATTGACATACCATAGCAAAGAAAATTTCGTTTGTAACTGATGTGGCATTATTCCTTTTGTTTTTATTTATATGGTTTTTCCTATTCCCTCTGCAAATTAAAGCAGTCAGAAAAAAATTTCAGAGCAACTTAAAGATTTCTACTGAAAAGCAGAAGCAAATAGACCTGTCCCCCTCTGCAGTCAGACCTACTTCCCAGAGGCAGCTACTGTTGTCCCTGTTTTGTTTTAGTTTTTTTGGGCAGGTTACCTCCCTGATACTAAACCTGATGCTCTCCCACTATTTTTTGACGATAGTCTGAAGAATTAACTGACTCCCATAGACTTCCAGTGAACCTGTTTTTTGTTTTTGTTTTTAATTGGATATAATTTACATTCAGAAAAACAGATAAATTCTAAGTAGAAAGCTGACCCTGTTCCTGACTCGCACCTCACTCTTGCCCTTTTCTTCCTAGGGCCTCTCTCAGGTGTCACCTAATTTATCCTTTGCTACAGGCCTGGCATGCCTGTTTCTAGCTGTTCTCTCCACATACCATTTTATTTTCATTAGGCTTTCATCTCCTTTTTATTTTCTAGTAATTTCTTGATGGTTCTTGTCCAGTGCTGGTTTTCCATTTTATCGTTTTTACTGTTACCATTGTAGTCTTGTTTGTTTTTTACTGGGAGATTCCTTTACTTGAACCATTCATGTTTAATTCTTTTCTCATTGTTGTCAACAGGCACCTGCTTGTGCCAGAGCGAGAGACACTGTTTAACACCCTAGCCAATAACCGGGAAATCATCAACCAACAGAGGAAGAGGCTGAATCACCTGGTGGATAGTCTTCAGCAGCTCCGCCTTTACAACCAGACTTCCCCATGGAGCCTGCCCTCGGCTGTTCCTTCCCAGAGCAGCATTCACAGGTGTAGAGAGGACTTGCACTCAATAAATATGGGTGAATGAATGCATGAACAAACATTTAGGGAGTAATGTGGGGTAGTCTTAGAGTGGTTCAGATGTGGGTTTGCAGGTGACTCTGTTGTCTCTCACCTTTGTGATCCTGGTCAGGGTCCCACCCTCTCTGATCCTTTGTTTCTTTGCTTAAAAAATCGGGATGACAAACCTGGTTCATGGGATTGTTTGGGAGTTAAATTAAGTCTGTAAAGTATTACACTGATGAAATGGGTGCTGAATGTATCAGAGCAAGTGATACACCATAGTAATAGTGTCATGGTTGATTGAAAGTCAACTGATAGGATTAAGTTGACTGAGTTGTTTCTGAAGCCCGGATTTGTCATTCTGCTTGAATGTGGGGACTTTCAGACCCTGGCAGATGGACAGTTTACCTTGAGTTTACCAAAATTGTTTTGTTGTTGTTGTTGTTGTTGTTGTTGTTGTTGTTTTGAGACCGAGTCTCGCTCTGTTGCCCAGGCTGGAGTGCAGTGGCGCCATCTCGGCTCACTGTAAGCTCTGCCTCCTGGGTTCTCGCCATTCTCCTGCCTCAGCCTCCCAAGTAGCTGGAACTACAGGCGCCCGCCACCACACCCAGCTAATTTTTTTGTATTTTTAGTAGAGATGAGATTTCACCGTGTTAGCCACGATGGTCTCGATCTCCTGACCTCATGATCCGCCTCCCAAAGTGCTGGGATTATAGGCGTGAGCCACCATGCCCAACCAAGTTTACCAAAATGGTTTTGTGTTTATGCTTTTAGGCCAAATGTGTAGATTTTAGTTACTTTTTCTACTGAGGCACCATCATGTTGTGTTTGGGGTGGAGATGGTATATAATGTGGTTGTGATCTCACTTTTAGATTAATTCCATCAGTTGGTCAGATGGCATGTTTATATATAGGAGATATTCTTATGTCTTGCATTTATATTTAGGAGGATAGTGTACACCCGACAGCCTCAGATCTTTCTGCTCCTAGTTGGTCTGTATGTAACACTATCCTGTTTCAGTTTTGACAGTGACCTTGAAAGCCTGCGCAATGCTTTGTTAAAAACCACCATAGAATCTCACACCAAATCCTTGCCCAAAGTACCAGGTAATTGCATCCTTCCCAGTGTTTTAACTCCCTTTGTTCTCTTCCAGCTACTGATATCTTAAAAACTGAGTTTTAATCATTTATGGGTTTATGGATTTCTTGCAGCTAAATTGTCCCCCATGAAACAGGCACAACTGAGAAACTTCTTGGCCAAGAGGAAGACCCCACCAGTGAGATCCACTGCTCCAGGTAAAGAGAACTGGTAACTGGGTCTGTACGTACTGATAGGGTGCAGTGGGTGGGTGTGTGTGTGTGTGTGTGTGTGTGTGTATGAGAGAGCGAGCGAGCTAGGGTGCTCTGTGTGTGTAACTGTGTGTGTGTTGGTTCTTAATAGGGGATAGAGAAGATGTCCCCAGAATCTGTTGTTAATCTGAATATTGGAATAAAAAGCAGCTTATATATACTTGATGAAGCAGCAAGGTAGTTGTTTTGGCTTTTACACTGTTTTCTGCAGTCCTCAAGTTATATGGCACTGATTCATAAGGGTTTGAGGTAGCCTGAGCTGGATTCTAGCCTCTGCTTTAGCCAGAGAAGGTTTACTTTTCTGATTTTGGGTTTTGAGTAAGTTTGCATTTGGGAAAAAGGCTTTCTAAAAAACAAATAAATAATAGAAAATAAATAAATAGAATAGAAAATAAATAATAGAAAAAAAAAAGACAGAGTCTCCCCATATTGCCCAGGCTGTTTTCAGACTCCTAAATTCAAGTTATCCTCCTACCTCAGCCTCCCAGAGTGCTGGGATTACAGGTGTGAGCCACTGTGCCTTGCCGAAAAAGGATTCTTTTATGAAAAAAGAAGAAAAAAGTATGATTAAGCAATGGTGGTTAAAAATACTTGCTGTAGGCCGGGCATGGTAGGCTCGTAATCCCAGCACTTTGGGAGGCCGGGGTGGGCGGATCACAGGGTCAGGAGATCGAGACCATCGTGGCTAACACGGTGAAACCCTGTCTTTACTAAAAATACAAAAAAATTAGCCGGCCGTGGTGGCGGGCACCTATAGTCCCAGCTACTCGGGAGGCTGAGGCAGGAGAATGGCGTGAACCCGGGAGGCGGAGCTTGCAGTGAGCCGAGATGGCGCCACTGCACTCCAGCCTGGGCTACAGAGCCAGACTCCATCTCAAAAAAAAAAAAAAAAAAAATTTGCTGTAAAGAAGCCATATAACTGATGAAATAAGATTTTTTTCCCCATTACATTATCTAGATAATAACTTGAATTTAAAGAAAAATTTGTGACAAACAACTTTAGGCATAACTGCTTTGTTTTAGTACCTATATCCAAAGTTTTCTTTGAGATTCTGTTTTCAGTTAAAATTTTTTAATGCCAATAACAAATGCTTTTGGTAATCAGAATAACTGAAAGAAATTTAATCTTATTGATTTTTTTTTTGTACTCACAGACAAGTGAATTTTTAAATAATTTTTTTTAATCTAAAGAATACATTCTCTTGGTAGGTAATTGGGAAAAATATGGAAAGTATAAAGGAGAATAAAAGGTATTAGCTGAGTGTGGTGAGATGCACCTGTAATCTTAGCTCTTTGGGTGGCTGAGGCAGGAGGATTGCTTGAGCCTGCGGCTGCAGTGAACTATGGTCATGCCACTGCACTCCAGCCTGAGCAACAGAATCTTTAAAAAAAATTAAAAAGTTAAAAAATCACTCTCTCAACCCAGATATGGCCTCACTTAGTTATTTTGGTTTAGTTCCAAACTTTTTTCTTTGCATATGTAAATCTGATTAATTTTAAAATGAAATTGAGATTATAACAGTTTTGTGTCTTGATTTTTTTCTGATTAAAAATTCATTAGCCCTTATATTAAAAAAAACAAAAAAACAAAAAAAACAGAAAATAAGTCCTGGTGAAGATATGGAAAAAGTGGAACCTTTGTGCACTATTGGTGGGAATGTGAAATGGTAAAGCCACTGTAGAAAACAGTTTGGTAGTTCCTTAAAAAATTAAAAATGTAATCACTGGATGATCCAGCAATTTCACTTCTGGGTATATACCCCAAATAATTGAAAACAAGGTTTCAAAGAGATACTTTTGTATCCATGCTCATGACAGCATTATTGATAATAGCCAAGAGGTGGAAACAATGTGTCTGTTAATGAATGAACAGATAAACAAAATGTCTGTCTATACAAAGCAATATTATTCAGCCTTTAAAAAGGAGTTTTTTTTGTTTTGTTTCGTTGTGTTTTTTTGAGACGGAGTCTCACTCTGTCGCCCAGGCTGTAGTACAGTGGCCGCATCTCAGCTCACTGCAAGCTCCGCCTCCCGGGTTTACGCCATTCTCCTGCCTCAGCCTCCCGAGTAGCTGGGACTACAGGCGCCCGCCACCTTGCCTGGCTAGTTTTTTGTATTTTTTTAGTAGAGACGGGGTTTCACCGTGTTAGCCAGGATGGTCTCAATCTCCTGACCTCGTGATCCACCCGTCTTGGCCTCCCAAAGTGCTGGGATTACAGGCTTGAGCCACCATAAAAAGGAGTTTTTGACACATGCTACAATATAAGTGAACCTTGAGGACATTGTGCTAAGTGTAATAAGCCACAAATAGACAAATACTATGTGATTCCACTTATATGAAGTATCTAGAGACATCAAATTCATAGAGATGGAAACGAGAATAGGGGTTGCCCTGACTGAGGTGGGGATCATGGGGAGTTGTTGTTTAATGGGTATAGAGTTTCAGTTTTGCACAGTGAAAATACTTCTGGAGGTGGATGGTAGTGATAATTACACAACAAGTGTGCACTTTAAAACACTTAAGAGGCCGGGCGCGGTGGCTCAAGCCTGTAATCCCAGCACTTTGGGAGGCTGAGACGGGCGGATCACGAGGTCAGGAGATCGAGACCATCCTGGCTAACATGGTGAAACCCCGTCTCTACTGAAAAATACAAAAAACTAGCCAGGCGAGGTGGCGGGCGCCTGTAGTCCCAGCTACTCGAGAGGCTGAGGCAGGAGAATGGCGGGAACCCGGGAGGCGGAGCTTGCAGTGAGCTGAGATCCGGCCACTGCACTCCAGCCTGGGCGACAGAGCGAGACTCCGTCTCGGAAAAAAAAAAATAAATAAAATAAAACACTTAAGATGGTAAACTTTATGTTATATTTTACCAAATTTTAAAACTTGGAAAAAAATTTAAAGTTAAAATCGTAAGCTTTTCCTCTGCCTTCTGTGTTTAAATGTTCTTTGAACACATGCCTTATAAAGACATTATAATATTTCCTTGTATTAGAAGGCCATAATGCCTGTTGCTAATCTTGTTGCCAAAATTTTACTCAGAATGTCTTTATTCACAAATCTTTAACCCACATCAGATTATATATTTAGATAAGAGTCCTTAGAAGTGAGATTTATGGAATTTACTTATTCATTCATTCAATGAATATGATTGCCTAGTTTGTTCCAGTCAGTGGTAAATAAGAGAAACATGGTCTCTGCCCACATGAAGCTTTTCATTTAAGAGGAGGAATTCAGACATTAAGCAGATAACCGCACATGATACTCATTTAATATTAGTGTGCATGCTGGGAAGAATAACTCAGCATGTGAACACTTTTAATTTTTTAAATTGTGAAAAACAACACACATAAAGTGCGCAAAACTAAAACGTATATCCCTGTAGCCTCTACTCAGGTCAAGAAACAGAATATTGCCATTTTTTAGAAGCCCTCTTGCATACCCCGGTTTTCCTTCCTCCCCTAAGGCACCATTATATGGGCTTATGTGAGTTTCGCCTTTGCCTTTTTTTTTTTTTTTTGACATTTTTTGTTATTTTAAATTTATTATTTTGAAAAAATTCAAACTTCCAACTGCGAGTACAATAAGCATCTGCTTACCCCTCACTCATGTTTGCTAATGTTTGTCACAATTATTGCTGAACTATCTGAGAATAAGTTAAAGACAACGCCCCTTACTCCTAAATATTTCAACATGTGTCCTCCAAGAATAAAGGTGCTCTCTTACACGTCAATACAGTTCGCAGGTTCAGAAAATTTAACGTATACAGTTATCTCATATATAGTTGAGACTCAAATTTTGCCAGCTGTCCCACTCCCTACACGTTGATTGGATCTACGATCCAGTACAGGATTCTGCATTGCATAAGTTGTCATTCTCTTTAGTCTCCTTTTCTTTGTTTTCCCTCAGAGCTTTACTATGTAAGCATACCTCCCAAAACACTATAATTTGGTTTTGCCTGTGTTTGGGTTTTGCCTACCACATAAATCCATTCACTTAGTCTCTAAATGGGCTTCTCTTGTTCCACGTCAGGCTTGTAAGATCCATCCGTGTTGGTGCCTCTAGCTATTATTTTAGTTGCTCTATATAGGATTCTATTGTATGAGTATGCTGCATTTGTTTAGTCATTCTCCTGTTGGACATGTGCTGCTTTCAGTTTATAGCTATTACAGAAAATGTGGTTCTGAATATTCCTGTGTGTGTCTCTCAGAGCACATATGTACCCTTCATTTGGTTACATAGCTAGGAGTGGCATTGTTGGCTCATAGTCTGTCCATATGCTCAGCTTTCATAGATTCTGCCAAGCAGTTTTACCAAGTGGTTGTACTTTATCATCAGTAGATGAGTGTTACAGTTGTTCCACATCTTTGCCAAGCTTGATATTGTCAGTCTCTTTTCTTTTAACTATTCTGGTAGAACTCTTGTAAAATGTTTTAACCGTTCAGATACCTTCTTTCGTGGAGTACCGAATTAAATCTTTTGTTCATTCATTTATTATTAAAAACTCTTTATTATTGATTTGTAAATGTTCTTATAAATTCTGGAGACCAGTCTTTGTTGGTTTTATGAGTTGTAGATACTCACTTTGCCTTTTTGCCCTCTTATGTCTTGGTGAACAGAAGTTCTTTTTTGTTTTTGTTTTTAGAAACAGAGTCTTGGTCTGTTGCCCAGGCTGGAATACAGTGGTGCAGTCATAGCTCACTGCAGCCCCAACCTCCCTGGCTGAAGCAATCCTCCTGCCTCAGCCTCCTGAGTAGCTGGGACTATAGGCACAGGCCAGGCCACCATGCCCAGCTAGTTTTTTATTTTTTTGTAGAGACATTATCTCGCTATATTGCTCAGGCTGATCTTGAACATCTGGCCTTACGTGATCTTCCTGCCTCAGCTTCCCAAAGCGCTGGGATTACAGGTGTGAGCAGCTGTGCCCAGCCTGTCGATCAGAAGTTCTTAATTGTGAAATAGTGAGATTCTTCAGCCTTTTCTTTCATAGTTAGTACTTTTTGTGTTCTGTTTAAGAAATCTTCTATCTCTAGGTAATGAAAGTAGGTATGTACCTTTATTATCTTCCGGAAACATTAAAGTTTGCCTTTCAAAATTGGATCTGCAGGCAGATCACGAGCTCAGGAGATCGAGACCATCCAGGTCAACATGGTGAAACCCCATCTCTACTAAAAATACAAAAAAATTAGCTGGGCATGGTGGCACGCAGCTGTAGTCCCAGCTACTTAGGAGGCTGAGGCAGGAGAATCGCTTGAACACGGAAGGTGGAGGTTGCAGTGAGCCAAGATCGCACCACTGCACTCCAGCCTGGCGACAGAGTGAGACTGTCACAAAAAAAAAATCCCAAAGTGCTCAGATTACAGGTGTGAGCCACCACACCCGGCCTCTGCTTACATTTAAATTAAATAAAATTGCAAGGCAAGGTGGTGCATGCCTGTAACCCCAGCTGCTTGAGGAGGCTGAGGCAGGAGGATCACTTGAGCCCAGGAGTTCAAGACCAGCCTAGGAAAGGCACGGTAAGACCCTGTCTCAAATAAATATATAAATTTTAAAAATAAAAGTAACATTTAAAATTTAGTTTTGCAATCCTAGTAGCCACGTTTCAGGTGCTCAGCAGGCACATGTGACTAATGGCTACTGTAATGGCAAACACATATAAAGAACATTTCATCATTGCAGAAAGTTCTACAATTCAGAGTAGGGGTTGGTAGATTTTTCCATGAGGGGCCAGCTGGAGAATAGTTGAGGTTTGCAGGCGCTGTGGTTTCCACTGCACCTACCTAACTCTGCTATTATAATGGGAAAGCAGCCACAGACCATGTGATGAGAGGGGCATGTCTGTGTTTCAGCAAAACTTTGTATTTCTACAAAGAGACAGCTGGCCTATGGTTGTAGTTTTCTGACCCCTGCTCTAGAATGTTTTGGCATTCTTGGTGTTTTACATTTTCATATTAACATTAAAATTGTCTTGTTAAATTCTACCTCCCTGTACCTAAAGTAGTCAAAACCGTGGAGACAGAACTAGAAACTGCCAGAAGCTGGAGGAGGGAGAATGGGGAGTTACTGTTTCATGGGGATGAAGTTTCAGTTTGGGAAGATGAAAACGTTCTGGAGATAGATGGTAGTCACAGTTATACAACATTAGGAATGTATTTATACCATGGAACTGTACACTTTAAAATGGTGACTGTGGTGTCATTTTATGTTATATTTTACCACAATAAAAAAAAAAAAAAAGAGGGGAGGCAGGAGAATCGCTTGAACCCGGGAGGCAGAGGTCGCAGTGAGCTGAGATCACACCATTGCACTCCAGCTTGGGCAACAAGAGCAAAACTCCGTCTCAAAAAAGAAAAAAAGTTTCGGGGGAGGAATTTTGCCTTCCTCAGCCTTCAAAGGAAAGTTGAGATTTTGACTGGAATTGTATTGAGTCTGTAGATCTACCTGAGAATTGACATATGTGCAGTAGTGAACTCTTAGTTCCTGAACTGGGTACATATTTGTGTATTTGGGTGTTCTTTAATTTCTCTTACTGTTTTCTGCATGGGAGATGTGCACATCTTTTGTTAGATTGCTAAAAATTTGATGCTCTTATAATGGTAGATTTTTTTTCCCTTAAATTTTATTATGTTGGATGTATTATAGAGAAATACAGTTGATTTATGTATGTTTATTTACACCCAACAACCTGGCAGAACTCATTTATTCTAACATGTCTGTAGCTGTTTCTTGGCTTTGTAACTATGGGAACAATGATATCCTCCATGGATACTAATGGTGATGTTTCTGCCTTTCCAGTCCCATTATTATTATTATTGTTTTACCTTGCTTCACTGGCTGGAACCTCCAGTGCAGCATAAAAGTGTCGTGTAGCTACCCTTGATCTCAAAAGGAGCACTTTCTATAGTTCATCTTAAGATGTGAGGTTTGCTGCATCTACTGAGATGATCATATGATTTCTATCCTTTTGTCTCCCCACCCTCCCTGCCCCCAGTCATGTAGCTTTCTGTCTTTCCTTACCTGAACTAGAGTGTAAACAGAATAAGATTCTTTAAATTTCAGTGGGACCCTCTTTCTAATGCAGGCAGTTAGCTGCATCCTTGATCACAGCAGACAGCAGCACCCATTAATAGTGGAGGCAGCAACGTCGGCATAGTGAGCAGTCCATGCTCCACGCTTCTGTGAGCAAGCATGCCCATTGCATCCTTCAGTTGATGGGCTCCCTCCACCAAAGGCAGGAAATTGCCTCAGAAAGGTGAAGGAAGGAACTAAGAGTATCCCATGTTACATAGGACCTTGGAGGTTACATAGTTAATCCAGTGTCTCTCTGTCTAGTTCTTGAAGGTGATGTGATTATTTGAGTCATCTTTTATTGTTACTCTCAGGAACTACAATAGGATTTTAGAGAAATTACGGAGAGCGATTAGGCCCAAGAGAACATGGGTTTGTATTAGTTTCCTATGGATGCCATAACAAATTATCACAAACTTAGTGGCTTAAAACGGTACCTAGTTGTTATCTCACAGGAAGATTTTCTGTGATGATGGAAATGTTCTGTATCTTTGCTGTCCAGCAGGGTAGCTACTAGTCACATGTGGCTATAGAGTACATGAAATGTGGCTAGTGCAATTGAGAAACTGATTTTTCATTAATTTGCTTTTAATTACTTTAAATTTAAATAACCATATATGGCTACTGGCTACCAAATTGGATAAGACAGCCGTAGCACGTAGCATTGGTTTTTAGTGGCGTTTGCTATGTTATACTTACATTATTGACAATAAAATCTTGCAGAGCCATGTGCACATAGGACACAAAAGTCCATAAATATTTGCAGAGCCATTTTAAATAACTTGGGGAGGGAAGAAAAAGGGCTAGATTATTTTGTTTGGTTTTTGTTTTTTCCAATATATAGGAAGTATTTACTTGCATTCTGAAATTTATGATAGAAAGTAACATGACATAAAGCCTTACTCTTCATAGTCTAAACAGAAGGCCAGGATTCAGTTCAGTACAATTCTGTTTTCTCTTTTGGTTGGTTGTTGTTGTTGTTGTTGTTGTTTGAGAAGGGGTCTCACTCTGTCACCCAGGCTGCAGTGCAGTGGCACAGTCTGGGCTCACTACAGCCTTTGCTCCCAGGTTCAAGCGATTCTCCTACTTCAGCCTCCTGAGTAGCTGGGAGTACAGGTGTGCGCCACCACGCCCTGCTGATTTTTGTATTTTTTAGTAGAGATGGGGTTTCACCATAATTGCCAGGCTGGTCTCGAACTCCTGACCTGGTAATCTGCCCACCTTGGCCTCCCGAAGTGCTGGGATTACAGGCGTGAGCCACTATGCCCAGCCATTTTTTTTCTTTCTTTCTTTTTTTTTTTTTTTTGAGACAGGGTTTCACTCTGTTGCCCTATTTTTTGTAGAGACAGGGTCTCACTATGTTGCTTAAGCTGGTCTTGAACTCCTGGCTTCAAGCAGTCCTCCTGCCTCAGTCTCCCAAAGTGCTGCAATTATAGGCCTGAGCCACTGCACCAAATCTCTTGTATATTTTTTTGAAACCTAATTGTCTAAATCAGAAGAATCATTAGATTTATCTGGAAATGTTCCAGACACTCAGGACTAAGGACATTCTGTCTTACTCCATTTTGCGTTGGACCTGTTCTTAGAAGCTTATCATTGGAAGGTGACAGTAATGGTGTGATTGTTCACCCCGCCATGGAAACTTGCCTGTTACATTTCTAGTATATTATTATTATACTAGTGAGGGCTCCAGGTCTTCTACTTTGACACCAGTATTAATTCTGTCTCTTATGTTTTCACATTCTTTTATTTAACAGCCCCAAGATGTTCTCATTCACACAGCTCAGTTTCTCAAATTCCCATCTGAGCAAAAACCCAAAACCATTTTTGTTCACATTTGACAATACCTGCTCCCACTTAAAATAAGTAATAATTAAATCATTTTACAAGTTGAAGTTTTGTTTTATCAACAGTGAAAATTACTTAGCTTTTGGGCTTGCTTTGAGTTGTCTAAATTATGTTTTGTTTGGGACTTTTGTAGCCAGCCTGTCTCGATCAGCCTTTCTGTCTCAGAGATATTATGAAGACTTGGATGAAGTCAGCTCAACATCATCTGTCTCCCAGTCTCTGGAGAGTGAAGATGCACGGACGTCCTGTAAAGATGAGGAGGCAGTGGTTCAGGCCCCTCGGCATGCCCCCGTGGTTCGCACTCCTTCCATCCAGCCCAGTCTCTTGCCTCATGCAGCACCTTTTGCTAAATCTCACCTGGTTCATGGTTCTTCATCTGGTGTGATGGGAACTTCAGGTAAGTAAACAGTGGGAAAGCAAACTGGTTTTTCCCTGTGATGTTTCTAACTAATGAAGGAATTATAACTGGGTTTTATATTGTCACACCAAAATGGTGGTTGGCTCCAGCCCACTTTTTTTTTTTTTTTTTTGAGATGGAGTCTCGCTCTGTTGCCCAGGCTGGAGTGCAATGCTGGAGTGCAATGGCGTGATCTCGGCTCACTGCAGCCTCCACCTCCCGGTTCAAACGGTTCTCCTGCCTCACCCTCCCAAGTACTTGGGATTACAGGCATGCGCCACCACACCTGACTAATTTTTGTATTTTTAGTGGAGACGGGGTTTCACCATGTTGTGTTGGCTAGGCTGTTCTCAAATTCCTGACCTCAGGTGATCCACCTGCCTTGGCCTCCCAAAGTGCTAGGATTACAGGCATGAGCCACTGCACCTGGCTGCTCAACTCACTTCTGCTAATATTCTAGAAATTAGAAGACTAATTGAAAAGATGTGTGTTCCCCTTGAAAGCAGTTGCTAGGCCATTGTGAGGAAGGAGATGGCTCTCCAAGGTTATGCACTGTAACAGCTTTTCTGCTGAGCCAGCTTGTTTTTTAAAATGGTCTTTTTCAGAAGTAAGTAAAAGGGAGCTGTTTGCTTCAGTTATAAAGCAAAATCCTCTCTGGTGTCTTTCAAATCCGGGCTCATTTCAACCTGAGTTGTGGCATATTCTGCCTCAGAACTCACCAGCTCCAATGCTTGTGGTCAGTATTGGCTCACTGTACTTACTGGTGTTGTGCCCCCACACTTTCAGTGCAGTGTCAGGGCTTTGCATCAAAGTGACTTCCAGCAGAGAAAAATACCGGTGTTAGGTACTAGAATGAAGAGAATTTGTGAGAGGGGATCAGGGAATTGGTCTATGTTGGTATAAAAGTTATATCTCAATGAGTATCAGGAAATGATAATGTAAAGTATCCTAGTAGAGGTGGGTAGGCAAATTGCATGCAGTAACTGAAAGGTACAGATGCCAGCCTGTTAATTTACTGGTTCTTTTCTTTTTTTTTTTTTTTGAGACTGAGTCTGGCTCTGTCACCCAGGCTGGAGTGCAGTGGCGGGATCTCAGCTCACTGCAAGCTCTGCCTCCCGGGTTTATGCCATTCTCCTGCCTCAGCCTCCGGAGTAGCTGGGACCACAGGTGCCCGCCACCTAGCCCGGCTAGTTTTTTGTATTTTTTAGTAGAGACGGGGTTTCACCGTGTTAGCCAGGATGGTCTCGATCTCCTGACCTTGTGATCCGCCCGTCTCAGCCTCCCAAAGTGCTGGGATTACAGGCTTGAGCCACCGTGCCCGGCTTTTACTGGTTCTTTTCTATGTTAACGCTAATTTTAGCATTTTCCCTGCAGTCCAACGCAAAGAATTTACCAATTTAACCTTTTGTATGTTCCTGTTCTCTCACCCACTCACACTTAATTTTTCTTTTCCTCTTAGTGGCTACATCTGCTAGCAAAATTATTCCTCAAGGGGCCGATAGCACAATGCTTGCCACAAAAACCGTGAAACATGGTGCACCTAGTCCTTCCCACCCCATCTCAGCCCCGCAGGCAGCTGCCGCAGCAGCACTCAGACGGCAGATGGCCAGTCAGGCACCAGGTAAAAGCTGTAGCCCCATACCTGTACAGAGGCTGATTATGACCTGTCTGAGTCACAGACCAGGACAGCAGGTGGCAAGAAACAGTGGGCTCTCTTTGGTGCTCTTCAGAAGAGAAGATTGACGTGACAGCCCACTCGCCTTTGTGGAGAGAGTTCTAAGAAGGCAGAGACTAGGTCTGAAAGTCTTTGCTTTTAAGGGGAGGGATTAGAACTGCCACATTTAGTTAAGGTGGAAATCAGTGGGGTTTGTTTTTTTTTTTTTAAACAAAGTTTCTAATCTTACTTTTGAATAATGTCTGCTTAGAGCCCTAAAATTATAACCTTTGAAATTTGATAATCTAATAACATTAGCATCATCTCTTAGTATCTTACAGATTGCAACTAGATTGAATGCAAAATAGCCATTCAAATACGTATTTTGACTGGGCATAGTGACTCATGCCTGTAATCCCAGCACTTTGGGAGGCTGAGGTGGGAGGATCACTTGAGGCCAGGAGTTTGAGACCACCCTAGGCAACATAGTGAGACCTCATCTCTAAAACGAAACAAACACAAAAAGAATGACCATTTCGGGTTTGAGTAATCTAAAGTTCAGAGAGGTGAAGGTTATCCCACCAGTAAGTAGCAGAACCCAGACTCTAACCCTCTGCTCTTTCTCAGTTCAGCATTTTTTCTTCTCCAACTATATCTTGCATGAAGCTTTTTTTTTCTTTTTAGATGGGGTCTAACTATGTTGCCTAGGCTGGAGGGCCTTGGTGTGATCACGGCTTACTGCAGCCTCTGTGATTTCCCGAACCCAGGTCACCTTCCCACCTCAGCCTCCTGGATAGCTAGGACTAGAGGCATGCACCACTACACCAGGCAGATATTTGAAAAATTTTTATAGAGACGGGATTTCGCCATGTTACCCAAGCTGGTCTCAAACTCCTGGGCTCAAGTGATCCACCTGCCTCTATCTCCCAAAGTGCTGGGATTATAGGCATGAGCCACTGCACCTGACCAAAGCTTTTTTTTTTTTTTAACATTATAAAATTTAACTTTTACAGATGGAAGCTCTAATAAGCCAGTTAGCACTTAACATTTCATCAGTGACTTGTCATTATCCCAAACTTTCTACATTAGGATTTTTCAGTCTGCGTAGTTGGTCTCAAGGACTTAAGTTATCACTAGTTATCAGTTTTATAAGCTAGTAGTTCTCAACTAGAGGCTGCCCCCACTTCCCTCTCCTTCTCCCCTGAAACAGTTGGCAGTGTTGCTGGCATTTAGTGGGTAGAGGCCAGGAATGCTGCAAAAAAAAAAAAAAAAAAAAAAATCTTTAAAATGCGTAAGACACCCCCACGACAAAGGGTTATCTAGCCCCAAAATGTCAGTAGTGCCAGGGTCAAGAAACAGATGTAAGCCAAATATTTTTGTTTTAGCTGAGTAGAATTGTTTTTAGATGTATCACTGCTTGGAACACTTATCAATTTATAGTTCTTTTTAAAAGACTAGAAAGACATAATGGTTTGATTTAGGAAAAAAGAACTAACATTAAACAGTGATAAGTCAAAAATTGTAAAGAAAAATTTAAATATTAAAACTTTTGTTAAGACATCTAACATATATATTGAAGAACAAAACAAAGATAACTTTTAAGGTACCTTTGAGCTTTCTAAAAATAGAATTCTTTGATCTCTAAATATTACTTGGACCAAGCAGAATCTTGCCATTGTGCTGAACAGGGCTGAAATCAAGCTGATCCAGTCAATGATGTGTAAAAAGTTAAAATCTGCTAGGATTTAAGATTGTTCCACTCAGCAGGAGGTGGTGTGATCTGCATTATCATGTTGGATGCAAACATTTCTAAGGTATAGGCACCTTTGAATATGAAATATGAAAGATGTGCAGTCGTAGGCAAGATGTTGCATGAAGCTTTTTTTCTTTTGAGATAGGGTCTAACTATGTTGCCTAGGCTGGAGGGCAGTGGTGCGATCACGGCTCACTGCAGCCCCCATGATCTCCTGAACCCAGGTCACCTTCCCACCTCAGCCTCCTGGATAGCTAGGACTAGAGGCATGCACCACTACACCAGGCCACTTCTCTGAAAGACGGAATAGAAGAGAATAAACCACAGGTCTATCATTCTGCTTGTGATGCCGCTTTCACCTTGGCCAGTGATGCAGTTAGAAATGATCCACAAGCTTTGCTCAGGCTTCCTTAATTGCTAATTATAGAATGTCATTAAGTCTTTTGGATACAATTTAAAATTATAAGACAAAGTAAAATCTGATAAGATAAGTAGGTGTCAACGATACGCCTCTTAGCCTCTTCCCCCATTATTGTCCAAGCTCCATTTTCCACATTTTATCCATTATGCCTGTCTGTCTCGCTAGGCCATGAGTTTCTTTAGAGAAGAAACTACAGATACATTTTGTATTCTCAGCCCCTAACACAGAGGCTGGCACATAATAAGCCCATGTTAAAGAAAGACAGAGTGAATGAGTGGCAGAAATCCTGAGTCCAGATGCTGTTAATCCTCTAGCTCAAGCTGCGCTTTTCCAGGACAAGCCAGCAGTGTGGCAGGTGTCTCAGCTCTGTTGTAGAAAAGCTGGCCAAAGAATTCTTTTCCCCTACTCTAGGACATTTGATTCGGTTGCAGGAAGCCTTGTTCCATCACCTGTGTTAGTGGAGTAGGCCAGGTGTTCCTTTGAACACAGTGCTGCAGAACTATCTAAAGTAGATTTCCTTCACATGATAAGGCTGTACTCTGCTTGGGCTCATGTCTTGGTTTTTCATTTATATATGACTAGAACTTTTTATCCTTTACTGGAATTAATATGGTGTTCTCTCTTCTCTGTTTAAATAGCTGTAAGCACTTTGACTGAATCAACGTTGAAGAATGTCCCTCAAGTGGTAAATGTGCAGGAATTGAAGAATAACCCTGCAACCCCTTCTACAGCCATGGGGTATGTTCTGACTGCAGTGTGTTTCAGCCCCTGGCTGCTTCTGTAGTAGCGGTGGACTGCCTGCAGGGAGCAGCAGTGCCACTGTCACAGTCTGGTTTTCCTGCACCGCCTTAGGTTATAAGGGGGGTGACGGCTAAGCCTGCCTACACAATGCATTTTCAGGAGATTGTCCTTTTTAACTGGCCAGTGACTGTTGCCTCACAAACACTTAAAGTTTGTCTTGATACTGTATGCTCAGTTTCTGTTTGCCACGTGTAAGTCTCTTTGTGGTATACATTAGGTGTGCAGGTTTTTTGTTTTTTGTTTTTTTTAATGCCCTCGGGGTTCCAGAGTTGATGCTTTGGGTCTGATGCAGACTTGATTCTGGAAACTGTAATCTCAAGGGTGATACTCTCCTCCCTCACTTCCCTTCTCTGGGCATTTCTGTTCTTCCCATTTCTTTTGCTTTTGTATAAAAAAGTAGTCTTTTAAAAGACAGCAGCTCTGTTTGGAGACTTTAGCTTCTTTATCATGCCATGTTTGAGGGCTAGATTGTTGCTGGTGGAGCTCACTTGTGTTTTTGGTGGTGGTAGCGGGTTTTTTTTTATTTTTTCTTTTTCTGACAGGGTCTCACTCTGTCACATAGACTGGAGTGCAGTACGATCATGGCTCGCTATAGCCTTAACCTCCTGGGCCCAAGCCGTGCTCCCATATCTGCCTCCCAAGTAGCTGCTGGGACTACAGGCACATGCCACCACATCCAGCTAATTTATTTTTTGTAGAGATGGAGTTTTTGCCGTGTCACCCCAGGCTGGTCTCAAACTTCTGGGCTCAAGTGATCTTCTCACCTCATCCTCGCAAAGTGCTGTGATTGCAGGCAGGAGCCACTGTGCTCAGCCTAGCTCACTGTGCCCAGCCTAGCTCACTGTGCCCAGCCTAGCTCACTTGTCTTTAGTCCTCATCTGTGTTCGGAATTCAGGGTGCTGATTGCCTCCTGCTGCCCTGGGCAGGTTCACAGAACATGCCTGTGCCCTGCTGTGCCCTGCTTTGCCCTGCATATTTTGTAACTGTGATCCCTTTAGACCAACCACCATCCCCTGTGGCAAAGGGAAGAGTTGAGGGACATTTCCTCCCTTGGAGCATGGGGATCTTGACTAGTATCAGATTTCAGTGAGTTAGTGTCTGGTACCCACGATTAGTCTAGCAGCAAGAAGGGCAGCCACAGACCCTGTGGTTCTCCACAGCGTGCCCACCCTCTGCCATCCCACAGAGCAGATCTGTCCACGGCTCTGTTTTCCCTCTCTCAAGTGGCCCTGTCTCACTGGTCCGCTGGCCTCTTTTTCCATGTTGTTCTGTTTATCAACACTGCTTGTTTGAGGCATTTTTCGTTATCTCAGGGCCATACTCACAGCTGAAAAACAAGCCTTCTCTATTACTATTTTGTAGTGACCTCGGAGCCTTGGTATGCTGTTTAGACCAAGATGGTATTTGTGGTTGTTGCAAACTTTTCAAGGGAAAGAACTATGCGTTAGAGTTTGGGAATTGTAGCCAGATTCCCAGCATAGGGAAGGCAAGGAAAAGCCACTGAAAGGCAGAATGTTATGTAAGATGGGAAAATTCAGCATATGGTACAGGAAGTATTGTCTGGTATTTCCGAGATATATTAGGTGCTAACCATGTATGAGAAGCACCTTTTGGAGATTCCACTTCTCCTTTTCTCAAGCTTCATTTCCCTAAATGGTTCATATGGGCTGATCTTTGATGAAGGCTTTGTTCAAGGAGTAATTTTGAGTCTACTCTTTCTGACAAGAAAAAATCTCAGACGACTTAAGAAATCTTGAAGAAACTTTGTTCCATTCTCCACAGAATTGAACTCTGGTATAATTATTTCATGTGTGTGCCCAGCATGGTGCCTGAAGTGTAGAAGCATTCCTTTTCAATAATCATTTATTCAATAATAGGTATACTCTACTCAAACATAAATTGAAAAGTGAAAATTGGTATTTACTGCCACCCCTCCCCAGGAAAGATTGAGACAATATGTTCATTGTAAAATGACTTGCTTTCAGATTCTTTTATGTTTTATTTTTAAAATTATTTTCAACCAGCTCTCATGGAACAGATTCTTTTAAACAGTTTCCTAAGTGTATTTTAAGTATTTAATTTTGCAGTTAGCTTTTTCTCAATGGTATCTTACAGAAAATTTATCATAGGCTGAGCTTACATATTTCTGCCATTGGTGTGTTTTATGTTCACTGGCCTCATCCATTCAGTTCGTTGGAAGAGTGTTTATCTGGCGCCAACCCACAACTATTCAGATTCCTTTGCAGTGCTCCATCGCTTGGTTCAGCAGATTCTTACACAGCATCTGCTGTGAGCATGATACTGCCCTGGCTACTAGAAATAGGGAAGTTGAGTAAGACATAGCAACCAAGAAGACAGCCAGGAAACTGCCAGTTACACACACACTTATTTTGTGTGCATTCATTCATTTATTCATTCTTTCAACAAATACTTAATGAGCATTTGTTGTATGCCACACACTATTCTTAGGTGCTGGAGATAAACTACCTGTTTTGTTGTTAACAAAATAGACCAAAAAAACTAACAGACTGATGATTGTTTGAAGAGACAAACAATAATCAAAATAAATAAGTAAAATATATAATATATTGGATGGTGATATGGTGTGATGCAGAAAATTAAAGCAGGGAAAAGGGTCAGAGACTATTGTCTGAACATGGGTTATAATTTTAAATAGGGTGGCCAGGGAAGACCTCCTCGGGAAGGTGACCTTTGAATGAAGAGAGCAAGTCCAGACAGCAGGTCTCATTAATATCTCGGAAGAAAGCTCCAAGCACAGGGCCTGTAGCAGGAGCGTGTCTACAAGTTGAAGAGGGAGCCAGGAGGGACCTCTGGTGACGAGAGTAGAGGAAGCAAGAGGAAGAATGCTGGGGGAGGAGGTCAGGGAAGACTGTTGGTGGACAGTGTCTGTTTGAGTCCCTGCTTTCAGTTCTATTGGGTATATATGTAGGAGTGGAATCGCTGGATCACATAGCTCAAACTGGTTTGCAGAGGTGCCGCACCATTTTTCATTCCCAACAGTAATGTTTGGGGGTTGCAGTTTCTCCACATCCTCACCAACACTCATTATTGACTATCTTTTTTATTATAGCCATCCTAGTGGTGTAAAATGGTATCTCACACTATCGGTGTGAGACAGCATTTCCCTAATGGCATCTTTTCATGTGCTTATTGGCCACTTGTATCTTCTTTGGAGAAATATCTATTTAGCTCCTTTGCCCCTTTTTAAAATTAGGTTGTCTTTTTATTTTTGAGCTATAAGTTTCTTTATATAATCTGTATTCAAGTCTCTCATCAGGCATATGATTTGCAAATATTTTCTCCCATTCTTTGAGTTGTTTTTCACTTTCTTGATGTGTCCTTTGACACAAAAATTTAGTACAGTTTATTTTTTCTCTTGTTTCTTGTGCTTTAGGTGTCACATGTAAGAAACTGTTGCCTAATCCAAGGTCATAAAGTTTTACACCGATGTTTTCTTTTTTTTTTTTTTTTTTTTTTTTTTTTTGAGACGGAGTCTCGCTCTGTCGCCCAGGCTGGAGTGCAGTGGCGCGATCTCGGCTCACTGCAAGCTCCGCCTCCCGGGTTCACGCCATTCTCCTGCCTCAGCCTCCCGAGTAGCTGGGACTACAGGCGCCCACAACCGCGCCCGGCTAATTTTTTGTATTTTTAGTAGAGACGGGGTTTCACCGTGGTCTTGATCTCCTGACCTTGTGATCCACCCGCCTCGGCCTCCCAAAGTGCTGGGATTACAGGCGTGAGCCACCGCGCCCGGCACACCGATGTTTTCTTTGAAGAGTTGTGTGGTTTTAGCTCTTATATCTAGGTATCTGATCCATTTGGAGTTAATTTTTGTAAATGGTGTGAAGTAGAGATCCAACTTCATTGTTTTGAATGTGGATATCCAGTTGTCCCAGCACTACGACGTATCTTTTCCATCCTTTTATTTCAATTTATTTTGTCTTTATATTTAAAATGAGTTTCTTGTAGCACAACAATGTGAATGTACTTAATACCACTGAACTACATGTACAGTTAAAAATGGTTACTTTTAAGATGGCAAATTTTGTTAAGTGTATTTTACCACAAGAAACAAAAATAATTTAAAAAAATAAAACGGATTTCTTATAGACTAGGGGTCCCCAGCCCTGGGCTGCAGACCAATACCAGTCTGTGGCCTCTTAGGAACCGGGCCACGCAGCAGAAGGTGAGCGGCAGGCGAGCGAGCATTGCCACCTGAGCTCCACCTCCTGTCAGATCAGCGGCAGCTTTAGATTCTCATAGGAACATGAGCCCTATTGTGAATTGCACATGCAAAGGATCTAGATTGCATGCTCCTTATGATAATCTAACTGAATAAAATATAAAATTATAGCCTGATGATCTGAGGTGAAACAGTTTCATCCTGAAACCATCCCCCTCTGCTGTCCATCTGTGGAAAAACTTGTCTTTCACAAAACTGGTCCCTGGTGCCAAAAAGGTTGGGGACCATGGCTGTAGACAGTATATAGTGGCCCTAGCTTGCTTTTTTAAATCTTGACCATCTATGACTTTTAGTTGGAGTGATTAGATCATTTACCTTAAGTGTAATTATTGACATGTTTGGATTTAAATCTGTTATATAGCTATTTGTTTCTATTTATCCCATCTGTTTATTGTTCAGTTTTTGTTTTTCTGGCTTCTTTTGGGTTAAATATCTTTATGACTCTATTTTAACTTTTTTGTTGACTTATTGGCTATAACTTGGTATTATTAAAGTGCTTATATTAGGGTTTATAGTATACATCCTCAACTTATCACAGACTGTCTTCAAGTGGTGTTACATTACTAAAGAATAGTGTAAGAATCTGACAGCAGTATTCTATTTTCTCCCTTCGCCACCTTTACGCTATTGTACATTTTACTTCCACTTGTACTATAAACCTCATGATACATTGTTATAAACAGTTGACTGTCTTTCCTCCCCACTGCCCCTCAGACGGATTCTTGTTCTGTCGCCAAGGCTGGAGTGCAGTGGTGCGATCTCAGCTCACTGCAACCTCTGCCTCCCGGGTTCAAGTGATTTTCCTGCCTCAGCTGGGATTACACGCCCAGCTAATTTTTGTATTTTTGGTAGAGACAGGGTTTCGCCATGTTGGCCAGGCTGGTCTCGGAACTCCTGACCTCAGGTGATCCGCCTGCCTCGGCCTCCCAAAGTGCTGGGATTACAGGCGTGAGGCACCGCAGCCGGCCAACTATCTTTTAAATACATTTAAATAAGAATAATGTTTTCGTGTTTATACATATAGTTATCATTTCCAGGTTCTTCATTCCTGTGTCTGGTCCCAGCTTGCCATCTGGAATAATTTTTCTTCTGCTCAAAGGACTTCCTTTAATGTTTCTTGAGGTTCACATCTGAATTCTTTTAGCTTTTGTATGTCTGCAAAAGTCTTTATTTCACCTTTGTTTTTGAAAGATATTTTCACAGGGTAAAGAATTCTAGATTGATAGTTTGTTTTCTTTCACCGATTTAAAGATGTCCCTCTACTTTAAAAATAACTCTAGTAATGACCAGAAACTTGAAAGGAACTTTAATCTTTTTGTTTTTCTTATTACAAATATTTGTTATAGATATAAAAAAGATAGTTAAAAAGAACAAAATTAAAATCACCTTTATTCCCACCACAAATATATGATTGTTATTTACACATTTTTTCATCTTTATTTTATGAAAATGTTTCTTGTTAGAGAAAAATTTGGATGCATGCTGCTTTATAAATTTGTAACCTTTTCAGCTTAATTGTGAAATCTAATTATTTACATTTTCCATGTCATTAAAAATTCTTCTTACACTATTCCTTTTTTTTTTTTTTTTGAGACGGGAGTCTCGCTCTGTCGCCCAGGCTGGAGTGCAGTGACGCGATCTCAGCTCACTTCAACCTCCGCCTCTTGGGTTCAAGCGATTCTCCTGCTTCAGCCTCCTGAGTAGCTGGGATTACAGGTGTGCACCACCACACCTGGCTAATTTTTGTATTTTTAGTAGAGATGGGGTTTAACCATGTTGGCCTGGCTGGTTTCGAATTCCTGACCTCAGATGATCCACCCACCTCCGCCTCCCAAAGTGCTGGGATTACAGGTGTGAGACACAGCACCCGGCCTCTTTTTTTTTTTGAGATGGAGTCTCGCTCTGTCACTCAGGCTGGAGTGCAGTGGCACAATCTTGGCTCACTGCAACCTCTGCCTCCTGGGTTCAAGCAGTTCTCATGCCTCAGCCTCCCAAGTAGCTGGGACTACAGGTGCCTGCTACCACACCTGGCTAATTTTTCTGTATTTTTAGTAGAGACGGAGTTTCACCTTTTTGGCCAGTCTGGTCTTGAACTCCTGACCTCAAGTGATCCACCCACCTCGGCCACCCAAAGTGCTGGGATTGCAGGCATGAGCCATTGCGCCTGGCCTGTTTTTTCGTATTTAATGTGGGTTTTTTCAAAGCTCTAATGTAGTTGCGTCTTACATTATTTAAGTTACTTAGCATCTAAACATTCATGCAGGAAATACAATTTGCTTTAACAAACTTTTGGATACTATTTTAAAGAATGTGTCTATGAAGACATTAAATTTACCAATGGAGAAAATAGTTGGCAGTTATATTTCCATCGACAGATGTCCAAAACTCCCAAGAATTGAATATGGAGTGTTTGTTTTCAGTATCTTCTATCATTTTCATTCTTTTTTCCTGTTGATTTCTTTGTTTCTTCAGTTACTCTTGATAAGTTCCACTCTCTCATACATGAGTATATATGAAAAGATACATGTAATAGTGATTAAGATTTACCAAAATAAAACATAATCAGGTCTCTCGTTTTTTATGCTTTTTAAAATCCTGAAATAAGTTACACGGAGTTGAGGCTTTTCACAACAATGGGATGAGTATTTACCTTGTTGAAGTTCATTAAAGTTGAAGGGACCAATAGCAAAGGTCCTAGGTGACATTTTAATGCTTCACAACCCAACTTTATTATTGTGTGTAGAGTACACATCCATAGAACATGTGTGCATTTGTCTGCCTGTGTTGGCATGTAGTGCTGGTAATGTGTGGCCGAAATCAGAAAAAAATTACTTTTCTGTGTTTTATTTTTCTCCAAGAACCCAAGTTTCCAAACTCTTAGTGACCTATGCCTCTGTCCCTCATTTCTGAAGCAGGAGCTTTAGTGTTGAGGGAAGTGTCAGTGTCGTTTGTAGACCTCCTCAGTAAAGAAATGTCTCTTTGGGGCTCTGTTACGGCACCATTTTCTTCTTATAGTCCTTTGATTTTGCTTTTCATGTGTAGAACAAAGAATATCAAGATGAATTTCTGGTATTTTTCAGCTCCATATTGCTAAAAAGTAGAATAAAGTCATCTAAAATATGGGTACTTCTGAATTTGGCTTTTCTATCCCTTGATCATTTCTGGCTATTGATTTCCATTGTTTTGGTTCATGATCATGCACAAACGGTTGAACATATTTGTTTGAGAGTATACTGTTTTTTTCTGTTTGCTGTCTTGGATCTTGATAGAGATTTCTTGGATCTGATTTGTTAGTTGGTTTACTGGCTGATTGCACTGAACAGCATTTCTCTGCAGGGGTTTCACATGGTGTGTAGGTACTGTGAATCCTAATTTTGTGTATTTGGGGATTTAGGATACCCAGGAGATACATAGCATTATCACAAGTAAATAGAACAATAATTACACTCAGTCTTATTTGTGCATAATTTACTATCATGTCACAACTGAATTTTGGCTATAAAAAAATTTCTAAAATTTGGATAAATTGCTGCTTTTATTTTTATTTCTGATTTGTTTGTCTTTGAGAAAGCATACAAGAGTTTCCTTTCCCTTGTGATCCTTGTGAGCTCCAGCCTCTTCTCTAGGCAAGTCTCCTGTGTCTGCCCAGGTATTGCTCAGGGCCCAGCAGTCTCACTCACACATTCTTTTCCTCTGGTATAGATTCGGCAGAGGTGAGGGGGGAACGCTGTACCTATATTGCCTGGTTGGTAAACTATCTCAGGGGAACAGGGATGTGTTTCTCCAGAGAGATGCATATTTATGGCTGCTCCTGGCTTCAGCAGAAGCATGAAACGGGTTTTGTTTCATTGAAAATAAGTTCGTTTTTTCCTTCTCTCTAAATCAAAGTCTGTTTAGGAAGGTTCCCGTGTTTTTCCAGTGGAGAGTCTCAGTGTGCTTGTAAGGTTTGTTAAGTTTGATAATTTTCTTCTGTAAGGCACTGACCTTTTATCTTCTAAGTTAATTTTTTGATGGAAAATATGAATCCTCCCTAAATCTAGGGGAGTTCTGAAAAATAACCAAGTCCTGCAACTACTGCTCTATATACCAGTCAGAGTAGCGCTGGGCTGACAACAGATAAATTGATTGAAAAAATTACCCCTAGGAGCTAAGAACTTTTGTGTATGTTTGCACTAACAGGTAGTTTTCCCTTATGTGAACACTAGTTATTGAAATAACAGTTCGTCACATACAGTATTCACCTACTTCAGAGTTAACAAAAGATGATGAGAGCTCTTTCTGTGAATAGGGGTATACTTTTCATGCTGTAGCAAAGACACAGGTTGGGAATGTAACGGTGGTACATTTGAATCCCTTGAATGCTGACCTGGTGAGCCCTGGGGATAGCTGCTGTGAGAAGCTAAGATCTCTTTAGATAGCACCTTTGGGGTAGCAGCGAATTGGATGCATAGGTGGCAGTGAGAATGCTTCCCATAGAGCCGGCTTGGGTTAGAGAATCAGGAATTCCTCATGTGGTCTACAGTACGGGGAAGGGCCAGGGAGGAGGAGGGCTTATACTCTGGATAACAAAAAGATCTAGTTCTGAATGGTTACTAATTTTTTTCTTAGAATTGCAGAAAGGAAATAAGTTTTAAGGCCACTGTTTTGCCTTTCATGCTAAAAACCCAAAGTTCATTTTTGAAATTTATTCTTCAAAAAAATGTCAAATCAGTTGGATTGGGGTCCCACACAGCTGTATCCTACCCAAAACTGGTATCGTATATTGGACAGAAGGTTGGCTTGAGAATGAATGTGATTTTTACCTAGTCATGCCTTTCTCTGAGTATATGCTTTGTGTGTTTTTCAGTTCTTCAGTGCCCTACTCCACAGCCAAAACACCTCACCCAGTGTTGACCCCAGTGGCCGCTAACCAAGCCAAGCAGGTAACTTACTGATTTTTACCTCTTTTTTTTTTTTTTTTTTTTTTGAGACAGTCTCGCTCTGTCGCCCAGGCTGGAGTGCGGTGGTGTGATCTTGGCTCACCACAACCTCTGCCTCCCTGGCTTAAGTGATTCTAGTGGCTCAGCCTTCTGAGTAGCTGGGATTACAGGCACCCACCACCACGCCCAGCCAATTTTTGTATTTTTGGTAGAGAGGGGTTTCACCACGTTGGCCAGGCTAGTCTCTAACTCCTGACTTCAGGTGATCCATCTGCCTCGGCCTCCCAAAGTGCTGGGATTACAGGTGTGAGCCACCGTACTCAGCCTGAGTTTTACTTTTAACATTCATGCTGCATCTGCCTTTGTAAGTGAAGACCGTACTGTTTTTAAGTCTTGACTTTGTTTAAATGAACTATAAGTCTGATAAAGGCCCATAATCCTTTCCCTACAATTTATGCCAGTCTTAACCTGGCTGTTAATCAGAATAGGTCAGTCAGAACCTGATATTGTCTTCATAGGCCATTTAACATTCTGCACCTAGTAGTTTGGGGTCATAATTCTAATACCATACATTTTTATATGAGGTATTTTGCTTTGCAGTTTACTTTCACATTATCTCAGTAAATCCATACAACAACCATGTACAGTGGGAGGATAGGTGTTTAGATATATCTCACTGGTGACACAGACTAGGATTGAGTGACTAACGCAAACTCTCATGATTAGTAAATGGTGGAACCAGAGCTGGGTCCCAAGACTTCTGACTTCCTCCTGTCCATTGCTTGTTTCATTACTCAGTTTATAGTACCAGTGTCTGGGGTGTAGGTTATCTGGTTTTCTCCTGCAATCCCTGTTTGTCAGAGTTTACATATTTTTAGTGATATTATGTCTAGCTTGTCTAGCTTGAAGCTTTTGCCTGATAAACATTGTCCCTTAGAAAAATAGGTGATATTGCAAACAGTTAAACAATCCAGAAAAAAAGTGATAGGGGATGGTTAGAAGGTCAGTCAGGCTAGTGCTGAAACTCTTCCTAGGAAATTCTGGTTTCTCTGCTACTCTTACGTCTGTCTCTGATTATGAGTAGTTTGTGTTAGGGATCAGAATTTGAGACTGGATATCAGAGCTTGCCTATTGTAAGTTCTCAAACTTGCCTCTGTTCCTTAGTTTACCATAACTTAAAATGGCATTTAAGCATTTAGCATTTGATCTTTCTTCTGGAGGTATTTGTGTTCACCATGGAAAACACATGATAAGGCATAAATCATGATGAGTGAAGGAACATTGGAGATGGATAAGTCATACAGTTTTGCTTTTAACCTTATTGTACATGCTTTGAGAGCTAGAACAATTTTATTCATTTACTCCTTCGTTAATTTGTCTACCTAATATTCAAGTGCTTTTGATGTGCTAAGCACTGTGCTAGGCACTGGGAAGATAGCCGTGAACTAGGCCAGTGTGACTGCCTTCTTGGAGCTTGCAGAGTATTTCTGTTTTCATCCTTTATTTATGTATTTATTTATTTATTTATTTAGAGACGGAGGCTCGCTCTGTCACCCAGGCTGGAGTGCAGTGGCATGATCTCGGCTCACTGCAAGCTCCGCCTCCCGGGTTCATGCCATTCTCCTGCCTCAGCCTCCTGAGTAGCTGGGACTACAGGCGCCTGCCACCACGCCTGGCTAATTTTTTGTATTTTTAGTAGAGACGGGGTTTCACCATGTTAGCCAGGATGGTCTCGATCTCCTGACCTTGTGATCTGCCCGCCTTGGCTTCCTAAAGTGCTGGGATTACAAGCATGAGCCACCACGCCCAGCCTGTTTTCATCCTTTAATATGATCTTACACATGGTTAACTTAAATTGAGACCTTTTTTTTTGTTTCCTTTCTTTTTCTTTTTGGTAATTTAACTAAAAGTGTGCTTGCTTATTTTAAATTACATTTTTATGTTTACATTTTGCATATTTCTTTGTTACAAAGGATGGTTAGTGGTTTAACATAAACATTTTGCTTGTATTCTGTTATAGGGGTCTCTAATAAATTCCCTTAAGCCATCTGGGCCTACACCAGTATCCGGTCAGTTATCATCTGGTGACAAAGCTTCAGGTCAGTTTACATTTTTGTTTTCTTGAAAATAAAGGTGAAAGAAGCACTTCACAATAGGGGTTATTGTTCTAGATCACTGAAACAGTTGCCATAGGAAACAGGAGTCACATTTGATGAGATTGGGAGCATTTAGGGTAGTATGACTATAGACAAGAGATCATATTTGAAAGGCTTCATTCAGCTAATGAAGAATTTCTAGAAAATTAGTATGCCCTTCAGTGGCTACGTAGACTTCTGAAATTTTGAAGTTAGTTTGAAAGATGATAGAGCAATAGGAGAAAAACCTCCCTTTAAATTCTTTTCCTAAAATGGAGCAATAGTATTATCTTTTTCTTCCTTGCTGGATGATCACAGTTGAGAGCGGAATGGATCAAAATGCTAAACACTATTTCTTCCACTCAAAGGAATTAAAAATTCTGTTGGTCCACAGTGCCAATTCAAAAACCTGTAAGGTAGAGAAAGTAAAACAGATTTGTAAGATCTCAGTGTATATAATGAGTCCCTATTATGAGATTTTATGGCTTCACATAACTTCTCCTACACTCACTCAAACATAATTATTCTTAATTTGGTTTTCACAGTAACCATGAGTGTTTTGACCAGACACTTTGTCCAAGTGTCATTGCCCAAACCAACTTGATGCAGAATGTGGGTCTTCCTCAGTGTCCCCTTTTGTTGGCTCCTTTATTATAGGCTACTTAATTTGGTATGTATTACCTCCTGCTGCAAGGGTCTTGTGCTGTCTGCAGTACTGAATTTTTACAACACTCTGGATGGATTCTGGCGTTTGTTTCAGTCATGCTCTTAAGTGGGCCTTCAAGCAAATTCTGTTAGAAATTGAACTTCAGGCCAGGCGCGGTGGCTCAAGCCTGTAATCCCAGCACTTTGGGAGGCCGAGACGGGTGGATCCCGAGGTCAGGAGATCGAGACCATCCTGGCTAACACGGTGAAACCCCGTCTCTACTAAAAAATACAAAAAATTGGCCGGGCGCATTGGCTCAAGCCTGTAATCCCAGCACTTTGGGAGGCCGAGACGGGCGGATCATGAGGTCAGGAGATCGAGACCATCCTGGCTAACACGGTGAAACCCCCTCTCTAGTAAAAAAAATACAAAAAACTAGCCGGGCGAGGTGGCGGGCGCCTGTAGTCCCAGCTACTCAGGAGGCTGAGGCAGGAGAATGGCGTAAACCCGGGAGGCGGAGCTTGCAGTGAGCTGAGATCCGGCCACTGCACTCCAGCCCGGGCGACAGAGCGAGACTGCGTCTCAAAAAAAAAAAAAAAAAAAAAAAAAAAGAAATTGAACTTCATACATTAGCAGTCTGCCTCTCATAATCTCAGTCATACAATCATTCTGACTTTCTCTGTAATCCCAAACTTTGTGATTGGATACTGGGTTTACCTTTAGTAGCTATTCCTTGCAGAAGAAAGCCATTATTGCATAAGCCAGAGTTGTATTCTAGAATTCGGATTGATATGGAACCACAGTTAGTATCATGTACGCCTCACATGAGAAGGAGGTATCTAGCACTTCTCGACTGGGGCCTAAAGCTTTATGTTAAAAGGAAAATTTTATAGTGGAATTGTCAAAGACTTGAATATTTTACAAAAAAGTTTTGAAAGATCATATACTCTTTTTTCAACGGCTTCATTGGAGAGGTTTTTGTCACTCTTGGAGTTAGAATCCAAGAAACCTAAGGAACTTTGCTTTATGCATGTCTAGGCAAGTAGTGTGACTTGCAAGAAATTTCCAAGATTCACCATTCAATGCTGATCATGAAGTCCTCTCTGTCATTATGAGGTGTTCACTTCTGTTTTCACTTGCCAGGTAATCAAGGTTTAGAAAAGAACTTTTTTCTTTTGGTAGGAAAACTTCCCTGAAAGGTGCTATTTAAGATTTTGCAAAAAGTTTCTTTTTGAAAAAGATCATTTCTAAAACCTCTAGAGAACAGTTCTCTTATTAATTAATAATGGAAATGCCTTCATTGTTTTTCTGGTTGTAAAACTATTACATGTCCAGAAAAAGTCTATGGTGTAGAGATATATAATGTAGAGTGTGAAAGCTGCCCTATAGATTCTGTATTCCAGAGATCATGATTTCATATATATCTCTTGAGGTTACTTCATTGTTTTTTAAAGAAAAATATCCTATGTACTACATATCCTATATATATTGATTTTGTAACTTATTTCCCCTTCTCTGCCCCCTCTTACAATAAATGTCTTTGTCTCTCCAGGTATGATACAGATCCACCTTACTCATTTTAAGAGCTGTCCACAACCTCACTGTGTAGTTACACCCTATTAAATTTAACTAGTACTCTGATGATTTAGATTGTGATTTTTCATCCCATACACTTTACATCATATACCAGTAGTTTTAAAAATATTTGTACTACTATCTACCCTGTGTTTGTTTATTTTAGAAGGATTTTTTTTTTCTTGTTGTTTGGTTTAGTTTCATTTGATTTGGGCTTTTTAAATACAGTTTTCCTCTCCCCTTTCCCCCTTTTAAAGTGGAGCAAGGCTGGGCGTGGTAGCTCATGCCTGTAATCCTAGCACTTTGGGAGGCCAAGACGGGCGGATCACCTGAGGTCAGGAATTCGAGACCAGCCTGGTCAACATGATGAAACCCTGTCTCTACTAAAAAAAAAAAAAAAAAAGTACAAAAATTAGCTGGGCATGGTGGTGCATGCCTATAGTTCCAGCTGCTTGGGAGGCTGAGGCAGGAGAATCGCTTGAACCTGGGAGGCGGAGATTGCAGTGAGCCAAGATTGCGCCACTGCACTCCAGGCTGGGAAACAGAGCGAGATTCTGTCTCTAAATAAATAAATAAATAAAGTAGAGCAGCAGGGAAAAGACTGAAGATTGTCCCCAAACTCTAAGTAAGTAGTTAGAGTGAAATTGAACATGGGTAGAATGATGGATTGCACTTTTAACCTTCTTGCATGTCTCTATATTATAGCAATCATGTCTTACATCTATAATTTTAAAAAAAGAGCACGATTATTTGCTAAATACCAACAAAATCTATGGAAAATGCAGAAATGTATATAGAAGTAAACAGCCTTAAAGTCACTACTCACAAATATTTAGCTTATGAACCTATTTCTCTTTTGGACTTTTATCCTTCAGCATAGATTAATTTCAAATAATTATAAAGCTACATTATATATAGTTTTATTTACTTTTGTGGGGAGGGGGGTTAGCCTCACATTTTAAGCATTTTCTCCTACCATTGAAATATATAAGAATGTACTTTTAAAACTGTACATTTAAACTGTACTGGAATTATCTTGATATATTTTCCGTAAATGAGAGGATGGCACGCCTTAGACTGGAATTAATATTGACAGAGCCACAGAGCAATTTCAGAGACCTCGAGCACAAGTGAGGCAATGTGCTCACTCCCCATGGCCACTGACGTGTCACAGAAGGCGCATGCAGTGCTAAGCAGCACCACACAGGCTGAGCTACAGGGAATTATACCCTGGAACAGTGCTTCTGTCTTTTTGTAATATTCTTTTTTTTTTTTTCCTCCATAATTTCAGGGACAGCCAAGATAGAAACAGCTGTGACTTCGACTCCATCCGCTTCTGGGCAGTTCAGCAAGCCCTTCTCATTTTCTTCATCAGGGTCAGTAATGAACTTAAGTTTTATGGCAGATTACTAACAATTAGCTTCCCCAAATCTTACAATTGTAGATATATTTATATACTTATTAAATGTGTATGAACCCAGAGTTCTTACCACGGCAGTAATACATCTGATGGTAGTGGCAGTAGCTTAATGTTCTCATGTAAATCAGTTTTCCCTTTGCAATTCAAGTTAATACATATTTGTTACATATTTGTGTATCTGTTTTGTTTTTTAGCCTAAGCCTCATTTTCTTTGGGTAGTGAGTCTGCTAAATTCTGTAGTTCATTTAGTTTGTCACACTGAGGTGTTTCCATTCTGACACCATTTTGGGGACTAGATGTGACATTCAAATTGGCTTTGCTGGACAAACATGGTGGCTCATGCCTATAATCCTAGTGCTTTGGGAGGCCAAGGTGGGGGAATTGCTTGAGGCCAGAAATTGGAGACTGACCTGGGCAAAATGCGAGACCTCATCTCTACAAAAAAATTGAAAAATTAACCAGGTGCGGTGGTTCACTCCTATAGTCCCAGCCACTTGGGAGGCTGAGGTGGGAGGATCCCTCGAGCCCAGGAGTTCGAGGTTACAACAGAGTGAAACCCCATCTTCAAAAAAAAACAAAAAAAAACCACGGTGACTCATGCCTGTAATCCCAGCACTTTGGGAGGCAGAGGCAGGAGGATCACAAGGTCAGCAGATGGAGACCATCCTGGCTAACACGGTGAAACCCTGTCTCTACTAAAAATACAAAAAATTAGCTGGGCTATAGTCCCAGCTACTGGGAAGGCTGAGGCAGAAGAATGGTGAACCCGGGAGGCGGAGCTTGCAGTGAGCCGAGATCGCGCCACTGCACTCCAGCCTGGGTGACAGAGCGAGACTCCGTCTCAAAAAAAAAATATATATATATATACACACACACACACACACACTGAACTTCTTAGAGAATGTAATGAAAGATAATAGATAATAGGCATTTGAAATTTGAGATTTTATATAGATGTGGAGGAATCTGTTTCCATTTCTAATTTTAAAAAAACAACGATGGCTATACTTGTAAAGTTGAATTGTTTTTAAAAAATGAAAGAATCTTCTAAACCTCATTTCAAGATGAGCCGTTGTTAAGGTGCCTGTTCTCTGTACTACGAGCACTCATGTTGAAACCTGGGTGAGCTGCTGAAGCATTCTCTTCCCTGCAGTGATGGGGTTAGACTCTGTGGAACTGAGATCAAAATGTGTCAAAAGGATTTTCTGCCATTGAAGTATTGTGCATTCAGTTCCATTAGAAAAGCCTCTTAAGTTCTTCAGTTTATGCTTTTGTAACTGGGATCATGTTAACCAGTCTCTTTTTCCTGATTTTAATATATTGGGTGTCCTTCAGCCTAAGGAGAAAAGAGGGTATTAGAATATTATTTGAGGGGGAAACTAATATGTATATTTTTTTCTTTATTATAAATCATTATGTTTTATATTTCCCAAAGGTAATTTGAAGCAAATTTTAAAGAGTAGGTCAATGCCAAGAATTATTACATCCTTTACAGATGGCTAATAATCAGCATTTACTTCCATGAAATGATATTCTTCTTTCTTTTTTTTTTTTCTTTTTTTCTTTTTTTGATTTTGAGGCAGTCTTACTCCATCACCCTGGTTGGAGCACAGTGGTGAGATCTTGGCTCACTGTAGTCTTCACCTCCCGGGTTCAAGTGATTCTCTTGCCCCACCCTCCCAAGTAGCTGGGATTACAGGTGTGTACCACCACGCCCAGCTAATTTTTGTGTTTTAATAGAGATGGGGTTTTTTCATGTTGGCCAGACTGGTCTTGAACTCCTGGCCTCAAGTGATCCACCCGTCTCAGCCTCCCAAAGTGCTGGGATTGTAGGCGTGAGCCACTGTGCCTGGCCCTCTTCCCATTTTTAAAATAACCCAGAAAAGGTAGGGTCGTTGAATCAATGGCTTGACACTGTTAGATAAAATTTCTTCACAAAGAAATGTTGTGTTTTGTTTTATTTTTAATATGATGGGCAAAAGTGTCTAAGTTAATACATTATTTAGTATATTTGATGTGCTTGGTCTCTGACATTTTAAAGCTAGTTTAAAATCTGCGATTTGAAGAGTGTGTGTGTGTGTGTGACAGAGCAAGATTCTGTCCCCCGCCCCAAAAAAAAGAGTACAGTGGCACAATCGTGGCTCACTATAACCTCCGCCTCCAGGATTGATTAGCCCCCCTGATTACTGGGACCACAGCTGGCTGATTTTTTTTTTTTTTTAATTTTTGGGTTTTAGTTTTTGGGGGTTTTTGTTGTTTTTGTTTGGTTTTGGGGTTTTTTTTGGTTTTTTTTGGAGAAACAGGGTTTCACTATGTTGCCCAGGCTGGTCTCAAATTCCTGGACTCAAAGGATTCACCTGCCTCAGCCTCTCAAAATGCTGGGATTACAGATGTGAGCCACTATGCCTGGCCTGAGATTTTATCACAGTGAATAATCTGTTCTGATTCACACTGGCGTGGGATGTTCTTCCTTAGCTATGGTGTCTTCACTTACAGTGTAAAGAAAACGTACAGAAGGAGAGAGGAGATGGTGAAAGGAGTCAGAAAGTTTTTGAACCAGATTTTCCTAGCCCTAAAACTCAGTTCTGTCAAAATGACTGAGATAGGGCTTCTGTTTCATTGTATCCATTGTTTTCCCTAGCAGTGTGGGACTCTCTGACATGCTTGTTGGTTTTGGAGGGGTTCTGAGAGGCTCTTCCTAGTCTAAGTGCTTTTGTGTCGCCAGACCTTCCTTCTGTCCTCTCACTTAACAGACCATCTGCTCCGGCCACTATTCCCACATGCACATTTGTCATGTTTCTGTACTGCTGCAGCTTTGCTCATCTTGCAAGAAGTCCCCACACAAACTTCTGCTACAGAAAGCCCAGCCATCCCCCAACGGGCTCTCAACTGCTATCCGTATCGTATCTCACCCACAAACTGCTTCTCTCTGCTTAGAGATCATAGAGTCGCCTTACTGCTTCTAAGATAGGTGCTTTGACTCTGTTGTCGTTTATCTTCTAGATTGTAAATTCCCGAGGGCGGTTTGCATGAATGAATGATAAAATGGACTATTAAGAGGGTAATATTGTGCCTTGGTTTGTTCCTTTTTAATTCCTCTTTTTCTACTTGTTAGGACTGGCTTTAATTTTGGGATAATCGCACCAACACCGTCTTCTAATTTCACTGCTGCACAAGGTACAGACTGTGTGTTCAGTAGCATTGCTCGTGTGTTTTCTCTAAACAAGCACAGGTTATTTTTGCCCAGATGTTAGTATTTGACTTGTTCCTGAGACTGACTTACAGTATCTGCAATAAGTTCAGTGTTGATAATGTGCATTAGAAATATGCTTAATTCAAGAAACTGATGTGAACGATTTCTATTTTTATAATTAAGGACAAGGAAAGGATTTGCTTCTGGAAAATCAGGGCTGTGCTTTAACATTTAAATGCTAATATGTGAAATAAAATTTCTCCATTTTTTTATCTGTAATGTAAAATTTCATCAATTTATAGGGTGATTCTGTAGGGCAAGATAGACATAGTAATAGATAGACTGTAGAAATGAAAGATCAAACTCCTTTTTTTCCTTGATAACATACCAGCAAATGCACTGATTCCATGCATGTTGTTAAAAATCCGTCAGTAGGCTGGGCACGGTGGCTCACGCCTGTAACCCCAACATTTGGGGAGACCGAGGCGAGCGGACCACCTGAGGTCAGGAGTTCAAGACCAGCCTGACCAACATGGAGAAACCCCATCTCTACTAAAAATACATTAGCTGGCCGTGGTGGCGCATACCTATAATCCCAGCTACTCAGGAGGCTGAGACAGGAGAATCACTTGAGAGAGGCGAGGTTGCAGTGAGCCAAGATTGTGCCATTACACTCCAGTCTGGGCAACAAGAGTGAAACTCTGTCCCAAAAAAAAAAAAAAAAAATTCCATCAGTAGCATGTTTTTAACATTTAAAAGAATTTGAAGACCTGTAAAGAAACCAGATCTATTTGTTAAGTGCCTTTCAGTTATCCATTTATAATTAAGTCTTTTATTTTATTTATGTATTTTGAGATGGAGTTTCACTCTTGTCATCCAGGCTGGAGTGTAATGCCGTGATCACAGTTCACTGCCACCTCCACCTCCCAGGTTCCAGCTATTCTCCTGCCTCAGCCTCCCGAGTAGCTGGGATTACAGCTGCCCGCCACCACACGTGGCTAATTTTTGTATTTTTAGTAGAGACAGGGTTTCACCATGTTGATCAGGCTGGTCTCGAACTCCTGACCTTGTGATCCACCTGCCTTGACCTCCCAAAGTGCTGGGATTACAGGTGTGAGCCACCACACCCAGCATCATTACTCTTTTATTTATTAACCACTGTTGTTTGACCAGGCCTTATGGGTGCTTTACCCATATTTCATGCAATCTTTGTAACAGCTCTCTGAGGGTAGGTACTGTAATGATCTGGATTTTCCAAATGGGAGAATTGAGGCTCAGAGAGGTAAAGCAACCTTTCCAGATTCACACAACCAGCAAGTGGCAGAGTGCGTAGCTCCAGAGCCCATGTCCTTGACCACCAGACTGTACTGCCTCTGTCAAATAGCTGACTTAGTAGAGCACTAATAAGTAGCCATTAATTGTACATAAAAATTATTTTCTATGGACTGACACTTTATTTACCCGTAAAAATGAAGGAAGAACTTCCATTTCAAATCAAGTCCTGGTCTATCAGGAGGTCCACAGGCTAGTGCTGTGCCGAGGATGTTATTAAGGAAAGCACACAGCTAGGGTAAATTAAGAGAAGAGGCCTTTTTATTTCTCTTTGGGATAATATGTTAATTTCACATATTCTAGATATTTTGTATTTGTTGTGATTTAATGGTCGTAAAAAGATATTTTTTCCTCTTCACCAGAGGTGAAAAGGCAACTCAGAGCTGATGTTTGTGTGGAGAAGCACACATTCCACCTCCTTAGAGAAAGCTGCTGTGAGAACAAGGCCCTGACTCTGTACAGGGAGGAGAGAAACTTTGGCTTAGAAATACAATCAGTGGAAATGTAATGGGTCATCTTTGCTAAATCCAACCCATTTTCTAATTTCTTTTTCTTGCTAGGGGCAACACCCTCCACTAAAGAGTCAAGCCAGCCGGACGCATTCTCATTTGGTGGGGGCAGCAAACCTTCTTATGAGGCCATTCCTGAAAGCTCACCTCCCTCAGGAATCACATCCGCATCAAACACCACCCCAGGAGAACCTGCCGCATCTAGCAGCAGACCTGTGGCACCTTCTGGAACTGCTCTTTCCACCACCTCTAGTAAGCTGGAAACCCCACCGTCCAAGTTGGGAGAGCTTCTGTTTCCAAGTTCTTTGGCTGGAGAGACTCTGGGAAGTTTTTCAGGACTGCGGGTTGGCCAAGCAGATGATTCTACAAAGCCAACCAATAAGGCTTCATCCACAAGCCTAACTAGTACCCAGCCAACCAAGACGTCAGGCGTGCCCTCAGGGTTTAATTTTACTGCCCCCTCAGTGTTAGGGAAGCACACGGAACCCCCTGTGACCTCCTCTGCAACCGCCACCACAGTAGCACCACCAGCAGCCACCAGCACTTCCTCAACTGGCGTTTTTGGCAGTCTGCCAGTCACCAGTGCAGGATCCTCTGGGGTCATCAGTTTTGGTGGGACATCTCTAAGTGGTGGCAAGACTAGTTTTTCATTTGGAAGCCAACAGACCAATAGCACAGTGCCCCCATCTGCCCCACCGCCAACTACAGCTGCCACTCCCCTTCCAACATCATTCCCCACATTGTCATTCGGTAGCCTCCTGAGTTCCGCAACTACTCCCTCCCTGCCTATGTCCTCTGGCAGAAGCACAGAAGAGGCCACTTCATCAGCTTTGCCTGAGAAGCCAGGCGACAGTGAGGCCTCAGCATCAGCAACCTCACTTCTAGAGGAACAGCAGTCAGCCCAGCTTCCCCAGGCTCCTCTGCAAACTCCTGACTCTGTTAAAAAAGAACCTGTTCTTGCCCAGCCTGCCATCAGCAACTCTGGCACTGCAGCATCTAGTACTGGTCTTGTAGCACTCTCTGCAGAGGCTACCCCAGCCACCACCGGGGTCCCTGATGTCAGGACGGAGGCAGTACCACCTGCTTCCTCCTTTTCTGTGCCTGGGCAGACTGCTGTCACAGCAGCTGCTATCTCAAGTGCAGGCCCTGTGGCCGTCGAAACATCAAGCGCCCCCACAGCCCCCAGCACCACATCCATTGTTGCTCCCAGCCCATCTGCAGAGGCAGCAGCATTTGGTACCGTCACTTCTGGCTCATCAGTCTTTGCTCAGCCCCCTGCTGCCAGTTCTAGCTCAGCTTTCAGCCAGCTCACCAACAACACAGCCACTGCCCCCTCTGCCACACCCGTGTTTGGGCAGGTGGCAGCCAGCACTGCACCAAGCCTGTTTGGGCAGCAGACTGGTAGCACAGCCAGCACAGCAGCTGCCACACCACAGGTCAGCAGCTCAGGGTTTAGCAGCCCAGCTTTTGGCACCACAGCCCCAGGGGTCTTTGGACAGACAGCCTTTGGGCAGGCCTCAGTCTTTGGGCAGTCAGCGAGCAGTGCCGCAAGTGGTTTTTCCTTCAGTCAGCCTGGGTTCACTTCCGTGCCTGCCTTCGGTCAGCCTGCTTCCTCCACCCCCACATCCACCAGTGGAAGTGTCTTTGGTGCCGCCTCAAGTACCAGTAGCTCCAGTTCCTTCTCATTTGGACAGTCTTCTGCCAACACAGGAGGGGGGCTGTTTGGCCAAAGCAACCCTCCTGCTTTTGGGCAGAGTCCTGGCTTTGGACAGGGAGGCTCTGTATTTGGTGGTACCTCAGCTGCCACCACAACAGCGGCATCCTCTGGGTTCAGCTTTTGTCAAGCTTCAGGTAAGAATTTGTGGAAGCTTTTTACTTTGTTTCCCTCTCTGCTGTTTGAAACATTAGCAACAGACCCCTATTACTTTTGTAATTAAAAGAAAGGGGAGACTTGAAACCCAAAAATAATCTGTAGGTTAAAGAAGACAGTTTGGAGCACATGTGGTCTCAGGAACTTGTTTGGCCTAATTGGCTGGATCCATTACAGCTTAATGCAGCTCCAGTTTTGCTTCTTAGCAAATTGTCCACTCTGCAAGCCACCAGAGTGCCAGTTTCATGGGGGAAAAAACAAGCATCTTTAGTTGAGGTCCTGGCAAGTAATTTAATGACCAATAAATAGGAAATTTCAAATTTGGAAGGTACTTTAGAGATCATTATACCCAAAGCTGTCAAGCCTCAAGGAGACTGCTCTAATGTCAGATAGGATAGTGCCGGTGGAACCAGCAGGAGAGTCCAAGTGTCATCATAGTCCACCACCCTGCCAGTGTTTTCTGTCCCCTCCGACACCATCTTTCTTGCTGTAATCGCAGTCACTGACACTTGATTTGGGTTTTTTTCTATTTTCAATGTTGTGACTTTTGTAAAAACTACAGTTTATTGTTTTTGACAGTGAAACCTAATTCTTCACTATTGCATTTTCCATTTTAGCAGCTGCTTTTACTTCTAAAAGTTATCAATAAGCAAGGCAATTTGAAAATCTGTCCTAAGATTTGCTTTCTGATAGTTATCTTGTGAACGGTAATTCTTCAGCAGTAGACTCTAGGAGAAAAGCAAGGATCAATGATTTCGTTGTGGGCAAGATTACTAGTAACTGCTAATTCATTATTCGATGATAACTTGAAAACGGCTCATAATTTATTAGAAAGGAAACATTTTCCTTTCTTCAACAAATGTTTGTTACACTCCTCCTAAATTCAGCTATAAGGACATGGTGTTGAAAAGACAGACACAGTTTTGAGACCCACCCAATGCCCTGTGAAGAGGCCAGAGGGCCGCTGAATGATGGGAAATGTGCTGACGTCATCCAGAAAATGGGCAAGGAGAAGGCCCTGTGAGTCTTAAAAGAGAGAAGGACGTGTAACACAGTCTGTATCACTACTGCTCCATTTGCTCTGCAGTCAGAACTTGAGAAGACCTCATGCACAGGCATGGTCATACTATTTCAACAAATTCAGAACCCAAGGAGGAATCTTCTTTCATTTAGTATCTGTGTGGAAAGGTATCTGAGCTGTCTACTTCAGCCCTAGTTGAGGAATTGAGTCTTGTCCAAGCTCACCTACCCGATCAGTGACAGAAATAAGAATAGAGGCCGGGCATGGTGGCTCACGCCTGTAATCCCAGTACTTTGGGAGGCTGAGGCAGGGGGATCACTTGAGGTCAGGAGTTTGAGACCAGCCTGACCAACATGGAGAAGCCCCTTCTCTACTAAAAATACAAAATTAGCTGGGCGTGGTGGCAGGCGCCTGTAGTCCCAGCTACTTGGGAGGCTGAGGCAGGAGAATCGCTTGAACCTGGGAGGTGGAGGTTGCAGTGAACCGAGATCGGCGCCACTGCACTCCAGCCTGGGCAATAGAGCAAGACTCTGTCTCCAAAAAAAAAAAAAAAAAAAAAAAAAAATGACAATAAAACTCCTGCCTTCTCACTCCTTGTCTGGAGCTCTTTTGTTGAATAGTTCTGCCTCATCTTCCCAGGCCCTGTTCAGCTCAGCACTTCAACCATGTTATGCCATCTGGAAGAAAGATAAGCTACCCTGAAAGAATGTGGTATTTGAGATTCAGAAGAAACCGAGGAGTAGAAATATTCATAATATTAAGTCAGTCATTAGAAAGACTTTCTGGTCACTGAAAGTCTGAGCATAAGCTTTCCTTAGCCCCCATCCACTTGGAGTTTGGTTGGAGAGGATTCATTCCCCAGGGCTTTAGAACTTACACTACTTTAAAATGTTAGCAATGAAAAACAGTCTTTAAAGTATTTGCTCAGAATTTTCTCCAGACTAGATGGGGAAACATTTTATTCATAAGTTAATTTATTATGGGCTATCTTAGCACACCTGAATGTCATTTAAAAAGAAACAAACGGCCGGGCGCGGTGGCTCAAGCCTGTAATCCCAGCACTTTGGGAGGCCGAGACGGGCGGATCACGAGGTCAGGAGATCGAGACCATACTGGCTAACACGGTGAAACCCCGTCTCTGCTAAAAAATACAAAAAACTAGCCGGGCGCGGTGGCGGGCGCCTGTAGTCCCAACTACTCGGGAGGCTGAGGCAGGAGAATGGCGTGAACCCCGGAGGCAGAGCTTGCAGTGAGCTGAGATCTGGCCACTGCACTCCAGCCTGGGCGGCAGAGCCAGACTCTGTCTCAAAAAAAAAAAAAAGAAACAAACTTAGGCTGGGTGTGGTGGCTCACACCTGTAACCCCAGCACTTTGGGAGGCCAAGGCTACAGGTAGATCATGAGGTCAAGCGATCAAGACCATCCTGGCCAACATGGAGAAACCCCGTCTCTACTAAAAATACAAAAATTAGCTGGGCATGGTGGTGCACACCTGTAGTCCCAGCTACTCAGGAGGCTGAGGCAGAAGAATCGCTTGAACCCGGGACGCGGAAGTTGCAGCGAGCCAAGATCGCACCATTGCACTCCGGCCTGGCGACAGAGCGAGACTGCCTCAAAAGAAAAAAAAAACTTTAATGTTTTAAAAGACTCATCCAATCCAAATTGAATTTTTGTTTTCTTTGTATTTTACAGGTTTTGGGTCTAGTAATACTGGTTCTGTGTTTGGTCAAGCAGCCAGTACTGGTGGAACAGTCTTTGGCCAGGTAAAATATGCATTTGTCTTCATTCATGTCAACATGTATCAAACCCATTCAGTTTTCTTCACTGTTATATAATCAGTTCATGTTGTATATCTAAATCCAGCAAATAGCCATGTGTGGTTCTTAAGCTGTACTCCCTTCAACTGCCTTGGAGATGCAGGAGTCTCAGCCTCTGATTAAAGAGGATCACTAGAATTTTGATCCTCCTTCCACAGTCTTCTGGGAAAGTATTTTGAAAGCACATTGCCTGATTCCTTTTTTTTTTAGATACAGGATCTTGCTCTGTTGCCCAGGCTGTAGTACAGTGGCACATTCACAGCTCACTCTAGCCATAAACTCCTGGGCTCAAGCAATCCTCCTGCCTCAGCATCCCCAGTAGCTAGGATTATATGCATGAGCCATAACACCCAGCTAATTTTTTATTTTTGTAGAGACACAGTCTCACTATGTTGGCCAGGCTGGTCTCAAACTCCTGGCCTCAAGCGATCCTCATGCAAGGGGATTACAGGCGTGAACTGACACGCCTGGCCACATTGCATGATTTCTGTCAGTCCCCTGCATGTTAGGCCAAGGGTTGACAAACTACAGTCTGAGGGCTAAATATACCATTTGGCTTTTTTGGGGTTCATTGTTTAACTTCTTTAAGAATGGCGTTTGTGTGTATGTGTATGTCTATATGTGTATATGTGTGTGTGTGTGTGTATTTTTTTTTTTTTTTTTTTTTTTTGGAGGCAGGGTCTAACTCTGTTGCCCAGGCTGGAGGACAATGGTGCAGTCTTGGCTGACTGCAGCCTCCACCTCCCAGGCTCAAGTCATCCTCCCACCTCAGTCTCCCAAGTAGCTGGGACTACAGGCTTGTGCCACCACACCCAGCTATTTTTTTTTTTTCTTTTTGTATTTTTGGTTGATACAGGGTTTTCCCATGTTGCCCAGGCTGGTCTGGTCTCTTAACTCCTGAGCTCAGGGTGATCTACCCGCCTTGGCCTCCCAAAGTGCTGGGATTACAGGCGTGAGCCACTGTGCCGGGCCAGTTTTTATATTTTTAAGTGGTTGTTTAAAAAGAAAAAAGAGGAAGAAGGTTTGGCAACATATATGTCCCCTCTGCTAAGCTATATGTAGCCCGGAGACTCCTTTTGGTGAACTGAGCTATTTGATGTTATGTAGCTAGCAGTTATCTATGTGCCAGGCATAATTTTAAGTCTTTTATACAAACTAATTCATGTAAGCATCACAGCACCTCCATAAAATAGGTGAGATTATTGCCATTTAAGAGATGAGGACACTGAAGGCCCAGAGAGGTTAAATTAACTGTTACATCAGACACCAGCTACATTGAGATCATTTAGATGATAGTAACCTCCTAAGGAGCCCTTATGAAGAAAGATACCCTGATTTATCAGAAAGGATTGTGACTTTCTGAAGGTAGAATTTGTATTAGTCAAGGAGTTAATAAAGTGGTAGGCATAATATGCATCTTCAGAAAGAAATTTTCTTTATCATCTCTGTTTTCCTTTGAAGATAGGCTCTGCCCTAGTCCGTGATCTTTCTTAAGAGAGAAGTAGAACTTCTGATTTCTAGTTTCTGGTAGTAGAGGACTAAGTCATTCAGGGGAACCACGTTCCCTACTGAAAACTGCTAAAAAATGCTAGATAAAACATAAAAACCCCATTTTTAAAAGCACCAATAAACTAACAAGGTATTTTACCAAGCCAAAAGGAAAATGGGAACCTAGAGAAGTAAAGTGGAGCCCACAAGTCAGTTGTGCCCTGACAGCATTTACTAACCTGAGAAAATGTGAATTTTCTATTTAATAACCCCTAAGGTGAAGGGACAAAAATCACCAACTAAGATATGCACAAAGTGGGGAGTCTAAAAGAGACCCTCCCACAATCAGCTGGGACTCCACGTTGACAGGTCTCAGCCCGTGACTAGACTGATATGGTTCCATGGTGATGCTGCCTCCAGGTGTCTGGCAGAGGCAGCGCAGGCCCACCCTGAAGGAGAGGAACTTTACCTAGCCTTCGAATTACTCTTACAAGTAATTTCTGTCCCTAAATGAGACACAAGGAAACCAGGAACTATGAGCAAGAGCCAGAATAAGCATCAGAAATTACCTTTGCACAGACTACCTAAACTATCAAGCAGCTGGGGCTTACAGAGTTTAGAAGAAATCAAAGACAAACTTGAAAATACCAGTAAGGAATAGAAAATCATAAGAAGTGTCATAGCAGATTTGAAGAAGAACCAAATAGAATTTCTAGGAAAATGTAATGATTAAACTCACGTTTAAACTCAGTGGCTCTATTTGGAGCAGATTAGACCTTCTGAAAGGAGTAGTGGCGCACTAGAACAGAATGTGGTAGTCAATGTTTCCAGCTTTGAGGGCTATGGATAGCCTCTGTCAGAAGCACTCAATGCTGCCATTGTAGTGCAAAAGCAGCCATAGACAATATGTAAATGAATGAGCTTGATTGTGTTCAGTAAAGCTTTGTTTACAAAAACAGGCAGTGAGCTGGATTTGGCCCCTGAGCTGTAGTTTGCTGACCCAAGGGCTGAATTTGGCCCCCGAGCTGTAGTTTGCTCACCTAACTAGAAGGTAGGTTAAGGTGAGTTATCTGGAATGCATCACAGAAAGCAAAATGAAAGACACAAAAGAGAAAAAATCCTGTGGGAAAAAATGCAACATACATTTAATCAGAATCCCAGAAGGAGAAGAGAGAAAGAAACTTCCGAAACTATTTGATAATAGTAACCCACAGATTCAGAAGCCCAACAAGTGCCAAACGGGAATGCATAAAAGGAAACTGATTCTGAGACCTGTCCTAGTGATACTGCAGAACACCAAAGATAAAATATTAACAGCAACTGGAGAAAAAAGACAGATTATCTTTCTAGGAAGCCATAGGTAGACTGACAGCAGACTTTTCAGCAATAACCATGAAAGCCAGAATTGGCCACCTAGCATTTCTAAATCCAGCAAAAAATATCTAAAGAATGAAGAGAAATCAAGACTTTTTTTCAGATAAGCCAGTACTAAAAGAATTTACATCTAGCAGACTGACTCCAGCCTGGGTGACAGAGCGAGACTCCATCTCAGAAAACAAAAGAAATTCTAAGAGATATTATCTGGAAAGAAGGAAAATTTGACCTCACTAAAATTATGGCCTTCTTAATTTTAGGGTAAAACAAGCCATTAAATAGGAAAATTGTAGCCTATGTAACCAACAGTGTAATTATATTCAGAATATGTAAAGATTTCCTATAGTTCAAAAAGAAAGACAACTATACCCAAATTAAATTAAAAGGCTGACAGTACCAAGTATTGGTAAGGAAGAAGAGCAACTGGGAACTCATATATTGCTAGTGAGAGTGTAAATTCATATTAACCACTTTGGAAAACCATTTGGCAGTATCAAAACTAGATACAAAATCCCTCTTGGCCCAGCAAATCTACCCTGAATATGTAACCAACAGAAATGAGTGCCTTTGTTCACCAAAAGATATGGGTAAGAATGTTCACAGCAGAATATTCTTAATAGCTAAACACAGGAAACAGTCCAAATGCTTATGAGCTAAAGAATGGATAAATAAATTGTGGTATATTTATACAGCCAAATGCCACAGAGAAATGAAATAAAATGTACTGCTCCTATAACTGGCCTAGATTTGTTTTTTTGTTTTTTGTTTTTGTTTTTTTGAGACAGAGTCTTATTCTATTGCCTAGGCTGGAGTACGGTGGCATGGTCTTGGCTCACGGCAACCTCTGCCTGCCAGATTCAAGCAATTCTCTTGCCTCAGCCTCCTGAGTAGCTGGGATTACAGGCACCCACCACCACGCCCAGCTAATTTTTTTATTTTTAGTGGAGATGGGGTTTCGCCATGTTGACCAGGCTGACCTTGAACTCCTGACCTCAGGTGGTCTGCCCACCTGGACTTCCCGAAGTGCTAGGATTACAGGTGTGAGCCACCATGCCCAGCCTAAATTTGTTCTTTAAAGAAAGTTGTGCACATATGTATCAGTATACAAGTGTATTCATAGCAACATTGTTATAATAGCTTACAACTAGAAGCAGCCCAAATGTTTATCAACATTCATATGGGTAAGTAAATTTATATTATTCCACAATAGAATTTTTTTTTATTTTTTTATTTTTTTGAGACAGGGTTTTACTCCTGTCATCAAGGCTGGAGTGCAATGATGTGATCTCTCTACTCACTGCAACCCTCGCCTCCCAGGCTCAAGTGGTTCTCCTGCCTTAGCTACCCACGTACCTGAGACTACAGGTGCACGCACTGTGCCTGGCTAATTTTTTCTATTTTTTTGTAGAGACGGGGTTTCACATGTTGCCAAGGCTGGTCTTGAACTCCTGGGCTTAAGCAGTCTGCCTGCCTCAGCCTCCCAAAGTGCTGAGATTACAGACATGAGACACTATACCCAGCCCTCTTTTCTTTTTTTTTTTGAGACAGGATCTCGTTCTGTCACCCAGGGTGGAGTGCAGTGGCACAGTCACAGGTAATTGCAGCCTTGATCTCCTGGGCTCAAGCAGTCTTCCTATTTCAGTCTCCAGAATAACTAGGTCCACAGATGCACCACCACGCCCAACTAATTTTTTCAATTTGTTGTAGAGAAGGGGTCTCACCATGTTACCTAGGCTGGTCTGGAACTCCTGGCCCAAGTGATCCTCCCACCTGGACCTCCCAAAGTGCTGATGAGATAACAGGCATAAGACACCATACCTGGTCCCATAGTAGAATATTATCCAGCTAGGAAAATGAGCAGATTTCAGCTACATGTATAACTGACAAGCACAATGTTGAACCAAAGAAATAGAAAACATCACTGTGATAAACTCCATATTGTTACTTCCCCTTCCACTCCATATTCTTCCTCCACAGAAATTATGTTTGCAATTGGAAGGGCCAAAGATTGAAATCAAGGTTTTTTTCTATGATGGCAGGGGCCTTATTGTTTCTATTTATTGCTGCATCTCCAATGCTTAAGA